AAACCGTGAAGAGCACGAGTGTAAACAATTGCATATATGTATACGTATTTGAGTCAAGTTGCCAGGAGACAGATAGCCGGCAAATAGGCATATATGTGGGGTGAGTCGGGTGCTAAGTGGTCGGAGGCGGGGGCGGGGCTAAGGGCAACAGCACTTCACATGCAGCGCACAAGTTTTTGTGATCTTACGATAATGAAGTACTTGAATGCAATTTACATTCAGCATTTTGTAGGTTTCTCTGCAGCTGCAACAAAAAAAGCTTTTTTTAGCGGTTTTCAGCTGGCAAATTTGTTGGCAACGATATCAAGATAACATATATCTAGATCATGTGGGGGCTTGCACAACTTCTAATCCACTTAGTTGTTTGGCTTGCAAATAAAAGTTAGCTTGCCTCTAAGCAAAACTTTCCACAATTTAATTTACTTGATACTAATTTTTAAACACAATTTGGTTTATGGCCTGAAATACAAACATCTTAAGGTTGAACACCAAAGCTGTTTATATGCAATTACTGGGGTCATTATATAGTGTGTAAATTTAGTTTATTTTTAAAAGTTTATAAAGCTTATATTTTTATAATTATATATTTAAATTTACATTATTTTCATTTCATAAATTTAATTTAAAAATTAATTAAAGAAAGCTCATTTACATTTTATTTATTGAACATTTTAAAAATAATATGGTCAGCTGCATAGTTAAGATCAGAGGATGAATATATGTATATACCTATAGCATGTTTTCTAATGCATTTCAAATTAATGATGGCTTAAATGTTTCGCAGCTTCTTCAGCACCTTTGCTAACGATCTTGATAACGCTTAGTTAGTTAACTGTCAAACTAATGTAGATAGAGTTTCTTTACACACACACACACACACAAATACATAAATGTGTATGTAAATGTGACTGCATCATTAGTCTAATGGGTTTAGGTGCATTTTTTTTTTTTTTTTAGTGTGTGTCTTAATGTCTGAGAAAGTTGTTGGCCAGAAACATTTGCATGCCATTAACAAACTTGAATGCTTGGCTTGTTTTAATGTAGTAGCTACTGCTTCTTCTTCTTTCTCTTCTTGTGCTTCTTCTTCTTCTGCGTCTGCTTCACTCATTTATGACAGCATAATTGCCAGGCCGTTAGCTGGAAGGAAATTTACATGTGCATTGCCAGCTGGGATGGGCTCGGTTCGGTTCGGTTTGGTTTGGTTCTGTAACAGAATTAACAGAGCGCCGCTATGCTTTACCGCTTCGCTAGCTGCAATTATGCGGCCACAGAGTGCAAGATACAAATGTATCTGCTGGATACAAGTGTCTATCTTTAGAGTGCCAAAAAAAAGCGAGTCTGTTCGCAACTTGATCACAGCGCCAAAGTAGGCGCAACGAATGCCAAGCGACGCTTTGCATTTGCCACGCTCGTTACACAGATAACGATGCCCAGATACAAAGATACTTAGTTGCTCAGATACAAAGCCGCCTTTTGTGGCTGGCTGTGTGTGTGGGTCTGCCAATGCCAAAATCTATGCAAGGCGAAAACAAATTAAAAACTAACAAGAAAGCAAAAAAAAAGAAGAGAAAGAGAGCGTGAGCGAGAGGGGAGGAAAGTAGTAAGGGGGAGCGAGTCGTGAGACGACACGTTTGCCCGTTAAGTACAAGTATCTATAAGATAGATACATTTGTATTGCCTGCATCTGTGGCTGTGGCTGTAGCTGTATCTGTACAAGCGCTAACGAGCGAAAAAGTTGACTTTGCCGCGAATGGGCTTGTTATTGTTGCCATTTTTTATTAACGTACCGGCAAAAGGCCTTGCCACTTCACTAGTCAACTTCAAGTTGAAAGTGAATTAAGTTTTTCTTTTCTTTGCCGCTGAGCTCAGCGAAAGGCGCAACAAACACAACAGCAACAACAACAATAATTATGGCAACAACATCATTAATGTCAACAACAACGTTGGGAACTGATGAATAATTAAATTAGCGATAACAAAAAAATGTTAAATACATTTTGATGATAAGTGGGTGGCACTAAATAACAAGTAGGGCCAAAAGTGGCTATAGCAGTGAATATATTGCATTCGACTTAATACATTGCATCTATGATAATTTTGTTCAATAACAGAAAGCTATATATATTAACATTTACTGTTAACTACAGTTGGAATTCCCGGTAATGTTATTAACATTTTCTGAACAATTATAAAAAACACTAGCTGCTTTAAGAATGAATTCTCTGTTAAGTTTAAAATATGTCAATGTTAAATAACATTTTCGTGGAAGATTAACAAATTGTAGTATTTGATATTTAATTTCGGGTTCTGTTATCTTAGCACTTAATAAACCGTATACACAAATGTTGATTAACAAAAATAATATTATATTATTATATTAATCTTTTTCATACATTATTTCAACTAATTCATGGGTATATCCGAGTCGACTTCTCGCTTCGCTTCTACTTTAATCTAATCTCGCCTGCGCACTGAATAGGCTAATAAATTAAAGCAGCAAAAGACGGACAGCAGCAGACAGACAGAGTAGAGGTGTTATGACTCCTCCAACCAAATTAACACCAATGACAACAAAATGCGCCTTCAAGCTTGACGTTTGTTTAGTTCTGGGTTGTTTTTGTTTAGCTTTTGAGTTGGCCCTGATTAGTTGGCCGCAAGGTGAGAGCCGCACCAAAACGAACCGAAGCAGCACCAACACCAACAACAACAAAAACCAAAAGCACATTCATTACTGGCAAAAATCTATTTTGGCGTTTCTTTCTATTTTCGCTCAAGTTCTAGGCTATTGACACGGAGCCAAAAGAAAAGCGCATGTCGCCAAAGAAAAACAGATGAAGATGAATATCACGGGTGAGAGAAAAAATAAAAAACGAAATGCCACAGTGAATGATAATGAAGTTTGGTTTCAATGGGCATACTGTGTGTGGTGCTACTGACCGAGCAATTTGAATCTACCAACGGCGCAATACTCTGTTAAAGAGTGCTAAATGACTGTAAAACTGTGATGCTGTATGCTTATAACTGTAGAGAGGGCTGCAGTTATCGGTAGATACACATATAGATTAGAGTATATATTTTAAATATTTACAAGTATATGTTGAACATTAACATTAGCATTAACATAGGCTACTACCTATCACTTTGTAAGCTGGATATTCATATACAACCGGTTATATTTTCTAATGGCTCAGGGACGAAGCGTATGTGTATTTATGTGATTGACCTTTCCCATACAACCATTTTTAATGACACCAATAAAAGCAAAGCAACGTAAAGTGAAAAAGGCGACTGCGACGCTGATCAAATCACCGGACGCGATCAATGGCTAAATAGAAGAGAGGAAGAGAAGAGAAGAGAGAGAGACAGACACCAGCACAAACGCAAACACAAACAAAGTCGAAGTTGGAGTCATTTGGTTTGTTGACCCAAGCGCAGAGCATTCAATAAATTGAAGAAAATGAATGAAAGGAGAAACAGAGACAGACACTAACGGAGACGGAAAAACGTAAGAGCAGCGATGACCAAGCAAAAGCGGCCAAGGAGCAGTTACACACAAATGCACACTCACACAAGCAAATACACTCATACATGAGACACACTTTGCTCTGGCAGAAACAACTATCGAGTTGCTCGCACGAATTTGCCCCTTCTCTCCCTTCTCTATTCCATACAACAGCAGACGACAAACACAAAATGAAAAGCGAAATGCGTTCAAATGACGTCGTTGCTGGCGTAGGCGTAGCGATTCTGCCGCATCGCTGCCGCTGCCACTGCCGCTGCTACTGCTACTGTCAGCTGCTGCTGCTGCTGCTGTTGCGCCTGCATGAGTTTGAATTGGAAATGCTTTTGTTTTTATGTTGGCACTTGGCTCACATACCAAACGAATTTCTCAAGGTTTCGACACACACACACGCACATAGAGAGACACTCACATTAAAAATATTACTAATTATTAAAGTTACCTACGCGTTGCAATCGCCGCTGAATTGAAATGCAGTTGTACCTTCGCCTGTGCCGCTTCAAATATTTTATAGGCACTGCTTAATGATTTAATGCTAATTTGCCAGCCTTAATAGCAATTTTTAAAAACACACACACGCACACACATCTGCTAGCTGCTTTTGCTTTTTGCCATTTTTGTTTTGCACACGCACAAACACATAGACGCTGCGTCAACTTAAAATTCTACACGATATTTATTATTGAATCTATTCAATGGCTTTTGCAGTAGTTGTTGTTATAGCTTCGACCGATTTTCAGTAGTTTTATTCGCAATTAGTCAAACAAACACCCGCAATGCGTACCCAATAGCTCCGCGCAGCGACACAGATACAACACTACCGCTCTTGACAAGTGTTGCTCGACAACAAACTCGAGACGCCAAAATGAAACAGAAACTGAACGACACAACGAAACAGCAGCAATAACTTGACGAGACTTCAGCAAGTGAAACCAGTGTTGAACAGCGCGCAGTACAGTTGCGCGGTTTCGTTTAAATTTAAAATTTAATGGTTACAGTTTTTACACGATTTATTAAAAAGCTTTATGGAAAACTTAAATGAATATATTTGAAACTTTAGTTTTCAATGAAAGCTTATAAAATAATTATCTTCCCCATCAAGCTGCTATGAATACAACATTCAAATTTTATTTTCAACATTTTTAAAATGAAACAAGTGTCTGTAAATTTTGTCTTCAAATACGTACATATAAATAATATATTTATATTTGCATTGTAAATGCAAATTGTAGACAATATCAATTTACAATTGCACGTGTACTTGTGTGCTTAAAATAAATAAACACATTTATAAACATATACATATCATAAAAAAAACATTTACAGCTAATTATTACGAATACGTTTTGGAGTTCAACATTAAAATACATACATACRTTCATACATATAGCAACATTAGCGATCAACAAATTAACTATTATTGTATATGTATAGGAAGACACCGGCGCACGTGCAAATGCACGCACGAAGGGTTTTTTTTAACAAACATTGCACATACACAAAAGCGTGCTTTACCTTAAGCAATATCTTTCAATACTATTACTAAACTTAAATACAAACAGCATTCATGAATTAAACTACTCTGCAAGCGACGCGCTTATCGACTTCTCCTGCTCGCGATGCTCCCGCTTGAAGCTCCACTCAACAATAACAAATGACACCGTGCCAATGGTGCCAGTGATGACCAAAATGGCCAGCTGGATGTAGAGGCCGAAGTGCGAGGAATAGAAGAAGCTGATGGCCGCCGCCACGGACTGTGTGAACTTGAAGAGGGCGAATGCGCCAACCGGATTGTTGACGAACTCGCCGCCCAGCATGGAATAGACCTGCGTATTGAAGCAGGCATCGCCAAGACCCAGTAGAAAGGCGCACACCAATGCCATCGAGGCACTAGGTGGGTCCAAATACGATATATCGGTGGTATCTGTAAACGGTGCGCTATTCGGTAAATTGAGGAATGTCATCAAATAGGCAGCCATGTGCATCACATAGCCGGCAATCACAATGGGATCGCGACCGAAGCGAGTCGTCTTCGACGCCAGAATGCCAAAGAAGCCGCCGCCAAAGACTTCGCCGACGCCAATGCAGATGCCCACCAGGCCGACAATTTCCTTGGGCGTCGAAGCTATTTTCGAGGTGAAGCCAATGGACGAACCGAAAACGCCGCTGAAGAACGAAAGCTCCAGACCTAAAAGCAACCAGAAATCAGTTTGGAATGAAACTTATATTATAATAAACCATCGTCCTCATCCTCACCTGTGTAGAAGAACGCCAAGCTGAGCAGCAGCATTTTCTTGGTGCAGAACAGTTTGCCGGCCAGCTTCAGAGCATAGAGCGCCTGGCCGCAGCCCGTGTGCTGCTCCTCCAGCTCATTGTCCTGCTCCGCGTTGCTGGCCATGAAGCGCAAGGCGGCCAAAAACACAATGCCCAAAATGGCCACAATGGTCAGCACGCCAATAACCAGATTGCGCGTCTCCTTGTCAATGTGCGTCTTGTCCTGAAACTGGTAGTAAACGAACAGATTGCCAAAGAACATGCTGCACTGCAGCAGAGCCCAGAAGATGCCCGAATTGCGTGAAATTGTCTCCGAGCTGCTGCAGCGCGCCAAATAGGTGCCCTGACCCGTCCAGGTGATCGAGGCGCCCAGACCCAGCACAGCGCTCGCCACATACAGCAGCGCAGTCGATGGGAACAGAAAGGTGATCATGAAGAGCCTGCAGCAACAGAATAATAGGTCAATATACCATTGGAATAGATTCATCAGAAACTTACGTGTAGGTGGATGCGCCCACAACCATCGCCACGCGAGGTCCTGTAAACGAGATGAAGGACGGCGCCAGCCAATTGGAGAGCGAAAAGAATAGATAGAGTATGGCCAGGCTGGTGTAGCCGTCGCCCTTGAAGCTGTCATCCTCCTGCGCTATGCTGTCCAATATTGTTTTCTGTGGAGTAAATGAGTTTTGAGACCATGTCAAACAGATTCAATTAAATGTGATGGACTAGAAGAGACGCCAAGCCTTATTTATGACTTAGCTCAAGTTATTTATGAATAAATGTTTTGCTCAATTTCCAATTCAAATGATCTGCTCAAGATTTTAATTACATTGCATTCCATGCACACAAAACTAACCCACCCCATTCAGAGCCGACAACTGCAGGGTACACAGAATATAAACAGCTTAAATGTGAAGCACGTGTCGTCAATTCAAGGTTAAACTAGGTCGAATCATTTCCTATGCGGATGCGGTAGTGGGCGTTGCTTCCACTTTTGGCAGTAAATTTTGTCTACAGTCTGTCAATACTATATATGTATAGGTTTAAGTGCATATTACATTCGAATATATATATTTAAACACAAACTTATATATAGAAATAAAATTTGAAGTATGTATATGCTGAAAGTCAAGCACTAACTGGTTTGTCGCCGCCAAATTCAAGTGCAATGACAGCTGCATCAGAAATATTCTTGCATCGCTGGCGACTGTCGACTGGCGGCTGGCGGCTGGCGGCGGGCTTGCTGCCACATTTTGCATTAATTAATTTGCGATTATGGAAAATTTCATGTGCCACAGACGCACACACCGACGCAGAGGCGAACGTGTTTTTTGTACACAGAATTTTCCACGCTTAAATCGAAGGACTTTGTGTGAACCCAAAACGACAACGAATTGATATCGCTATCGACTACTTGACTCTGACACCAATTTACAATTTACTTTTAAAATGCCTCTATATATCTGTGCTCATTTCAAGAACTATTTTAATATATCGATCTATAAAGCCCATTCATGCGCACAAGAGCCGAAAGTCAACTACAGCGGGAGAAAGTGAAAGTAAAAAGATAATAATGTAATAAAATATATGAATATATATAAATTTTTGCAACTTAAGCAACATTCTTCAAATAATATGAAATACTAGTGATTTCTAAAAAGCTTTCTTCTCTTTAATACCTCTTATATATCATTAAAGGGTCTTAATAAATTTATATTAAATCTGAAAATATGCTAATAATTATTCTAATAGCTTTTATTGATTACAAAAACAAGAAACAATCTTATCTTTGGCGCGATACATAGAAAGTATTTCATTATCAAAAAAAATCTTCGAATCGCAAGTGGCCCAGTTGTAAATCACTGTTAACGGAGCAAGAACAAACCAGGGCTGCAAGCTAACATATGTATGTAAGTTATGAGCTCAGCTAATGACTACAATTCGGTTCACTTGAACCAATTGCTGATTCCAGTTTATTCAAACTTTAGCTCCGTTCACCATATTGAACCAGTTCCATTTTTCAGCCTTGCCATAAACTTTAATCACAAATTCCTTAGGCCAAATCTTCAATAAGCACAATAACAACAATAAGCTGATAACAGTGCTCTCTATACTCTGTTTTAATCAGTTCAATACCGTCTATTGGACACATGATCAGCGAACAATGCAAAAAATAAAAGAGTTGCACTTGCAAATCTGGGTCAAGTTTTGTGCAAATAAATGTGACAAAGGCTTAAAAGAAATAAGAAACTTCAATACTTCGATGCAGCAATGTGAAAGTCATTGGCCACTTAAGAGAAAAAATAGATATAAATATATATGTATGTTTGTATACATATAAATATATATAAACGCAGCCGGAATAATTAGCAGCTGTCAAACCATTGTGGCATTATGATCTGATATATACAGTTATGTGTACGTGCATGTTACGCAAATATCAACTGGCGCGACAACTCTCGAACAATGCGAATGCGCAGCCAAAAAGGAGGCATGCTGAAAACAAAATCTATGGCAGAAACGAGTTTCATTCGCTAGTTTTTCAGATTTTCGTTTCATATGCAACAAAGTGGCCGACGAGGGGATGGCAGCGGGTAACGGGGCATCCTTGTGGGCTCGTCTATGGCGCACCCACTTTTTGTTTGTGGGTTGAGTAATGACGTCGCTGTGTGGCGCCTAACGGTTATTATGCTCAGCCAAGGGGACAGACAGCAGCTGTTTGCATCGTTTGGCAACACTATTCGCGTGTGTGTCTGTATGTGTGAGTTTATTTCAATGTTTGCATGTTGACTAATGCATATGCTGGCCAGCTTGGCCTTGAGCCTGACGTGTGGACGCTGTGTGAGTGAGCATGTGTGTGTGTGTGCGCAGCGAGCTTGCAATTGCATTGACATTGAAAGAGCTGACATAGATGCGTTAATACACATACGCAAAAAACCGCGCTATAGCAACTTTACCTATGTGTGTGTGTATATGTATATTTATAGCAGTTATTTGTATTTGATTGCGTAATCAGGTCGAAAATTATCAAATTTCGCTAATTGAATGGCTCACATTAAGAAATGTGTGTGTTGTTGAGTGAACTGGTTAATTTCCCTTCAACTTGTACACTTTGATCGAATACTTAGAGGGTATTGTTAACAGTGTGATGTTAACAGTTTGCACTTATGCATGTTACTTTTTTTGTGTTCTTAAGTTGGAATATTTTCGGTTTAACTTTAACTTCTTTTATATATGGGTCAGTGGAAATGCAAAGGTAAGCACTGGCATTGGCAGCGCAGTCCGCAATACTGGGATAAGACTGTAATATTGATTCATATATACTAACGTACTTATGGACTACGGATAGATTGCGCCAGAAGCCAAGGCCTTTACACCAAAATTGCGCTCTAATGGGCCAGACACAAAGAAATAGCGTACACTCAATTGGTGTTAGCTACGGACTAGGCGATCGATCGACCGACTATTGTTATTCCTCTATAAGCGTTTGGTAAACGGCACTTGGTGAACGCCCAGCTTGGAATTCCAGTTCACTTCAATGTGAGTCGTAGTTAATATATTGTTAAATAATATAACAAAAAGAAAACAAAAAGCGAACTAGCTGGAGGGCGAATTAAGCAAACGTTTGCATAAAAGTGAGAGTCAGATATTTATACAATACTCTGCAAACCGATTAAATGTGTTTGGGTAAATATCAAACAAAATTGTGAAGATACAAACTGTTAAACTCTCTCATAACGGTGTCTGTAAACCGGTTCACTGAACTGTGCACTTGAACAGAATATATAAAAATATCTATAATGAGAAAATAAAATTACTGCTGAGAGTTTTGCGTTTCGTTTCGAATCACAATCAAAAAGAGAAGTGAAAAAATGGGCTTAGCATACAAAACAAAAACCTGAAATTCAACCAAATAAAAGACGAGCTCAATACCAATTGATAATGAGTTGACATAGCAATACTCTTATTTTGGATCATTTATGTATATGTATTGTGTGATTTTTACTTAACAGCTGTAAATATTATATTTAACAGATAATTTAATGTACCAACTTATCATTGGGAACTCGGTTTTAAATTACATTTTTTAGTTAACATAGATACGTAAGCTGAAAAGTAACATTGTACCATGTTTACGTTAACGCAAGGTAAAGGTAATTTTTAGAGTACACAATATTCTATATAGGAAGAATGACCAAATAGATCTGACTATCCTGTGCATGTGTTTGATATCTGGAAATATTAATTCACAACCAGTCTACACCACACAGTTAAGATCAGTTGTTTTCATGACTAGATATAAACAACGAGTGACCTTCATCTTAACAGGGTTAACAGAGCCCGGACAAAAGTCTGAGCAAACCGCTATACAAATTATATCGTGAATGGACTCATTAATGATGCTACATATAGATTTACATGCTTATATCCTAAAAGTAAACCTAGAACACAGGCATTTAATTTTTGTAATTACAGTAATGACAGAGAGGCCTATACAAATACAAAGGCATACACATACACACACATACAATTGCTCAATTTGTGTGGGCGTTTTCTTTTTATCAGGCTACAAAAGTCTATCAAAGGCCCTTCACCTCTGACAAAGGGAGTTGATTCTTAATTGAAAGTTGACTTTTGATCTCGACAATTGAATGGGAAAGTCTTGCATTAACTCAATTGATTTATGCTTCATATATATATATATAGATAAACAAGCATATAGCCGTTATATAGCGTTATCAGCTTTAGCATATTATCGTATTGTAACAACTAGAAGCTGTTTAAGCAAACAGAGAGCCTTACGAGCTGATTAGAAGTATGATATACAATATTACATTTAAAGTAATAAAACAATAACGGAAGTAGGGCACTCTGTTACTTTCTACATATTTATATATATATATANGCAATTAATGTGTGATTTGCCACATAGAGGAAAAGTGCTGTTGGTTGTTGCTGTGGTTTTTGTTGGAGTTTGCCCAAAATCAATTTTTTCTTTCTGTGCCCATCCAATTCGTGCACGTTAGTGTTTTTTTGTTGACACACGAGACCTGTTGCTCATACCACGAAATGATTTCTATAGATTGTATGATATAAAATCATGTATCGATACTTGTATTCATGATTTTTTGTGTTGACAGCGATAAGAACAAAATAAATCAAAATAAGTAAATGAAAATTAAATAAAGCTAAAATAGAGCTAAATTAATTTTTTTAAAGCCAGAATTCCCGCAACCCGCCGTTTTCAAATTTTTCCCGCATTTGGACTTCAAATAAAGCCAGATCTGACGGGAAAAAAGCTAAAATGACACCCCTGTTGGTGGGTGGCTAGAACAACTTAGAAACGACCACGTATGCCAAGGCTACGACATCGCCTATTGGCAAGGACAAGGACGAAAATAGCCCTGTATTCTATGGCACGGGGAATGTCAACAACGCCCACGCATACACACACACACACAAGTATACAAAAGCCCGGACGCGCACTCAGAACTCACCTCGATGTTACACATTGTTTGAAATGCAGTGAAAACAAACATAAAGCCAAAGCCAAGTATTAATATCATCACGAATTTCATCTCCATTTTGTCGTATTATTGTTATTAGTTCCTTGTAAGCTGTTGAAGATTTATCTATTTGTTGATATTATACATATCAGACCAGCATTTGACGTCACGAGCAATACGTTAGACTCGGGGGAAGCAGAAACGTAGGCGTTAGTAGAAACTGCGACTTTTAATTAATGTTTAGCGCGGGTAAATGATAAAATCACTTTTTACTTATGCATATTATTTAACAAGTGCTTAAAATAGTAAAATGCAATGCAAAGAAAGCTTCACGGAAAATTGAAACCGAAACCCCAAAAATGTTTGACGCGCTGGGTTAATGTGCGTATGTGATGAGGTTTGAGAGTGGATTGAAACAAGCAAGAGAAAATGTCAAGTGTAAATATACACAATGTTAATTAGAATGCAGTCATGTTAATATTTCAACTCAATGTGGCACTGTTAGCACCATAAGAGAGTCAGCTGTTACAGGCTAACCGGTTACACTGACCAGTCAGTGCCGGTTATCATACAACCGCCACAATATAGTATTTTCTGCTATCGATTTTATAACAATCGAAAAATGCCGGAATGATTTTAAGTCCAAAAGTGTCTCACATTTATTTTGATAGTTGGTTTAACGGCTAGCATTAACTGAAAGCAGACGAGTTTTAAATCGACTCGTTATCATTAGTATATTGGGAACCAAGGTCAGACGCAGCAAACCCACACTTCATATTGTTGGACTTAGGATGAATTTATTGATCCAACATTTCCCGGCTTTACCATCTGCAAAAAATTATTCTCTTTAAGAATTTTACACAGATCAATCAAGCCTGCTATGCCTGTACGGCAACCAAGGCATATTAACGACTCCCCGCGTGTATACTCCCTTTTCAAACGTTTGATGGGAGCACGGTCTCGGCTTGCCTTTGATTTCGATCCCAGAATTCGTTTTGTCTTTGATTTCGATACCCGCTTGATGCTCTTCACGGATGTTTTCCTTGCCGACGAAGAGCGTTTGCTGCTCGTCCTGGAATCTAAATCGCATGTAGGTGTTCCAGTATATTCCATGCTGGCGCGCTTGATGGTATGCCGAATGGCATAGCCCGATGATCCCGTGCGGGCCAGAATGCCCAGATCGGTCAGATTGGACAGCGATTGATGGATTATCTCGTCCACATTGACCAATTGCTTGCTACGCCGCAAAGTATATTTCACATACTTATTAATCAGATCAGCGGAGACAAAGCCGGCCAGCGAATCCTGCAATTCGGAGACGGCCTTGTAAACATGCCGATTGACTTTCCTTGGCACATTAAAATTATCCATGTTAAATCAATGAAACAATAATTTTGCAAAGAAAAAGATTTGAAATGCTCTTATAAAATTATAAAATTTTAAATATACGTCTGTAATTATAAATAAATTATCGTGCGCTTTGCCCAGATTGTGATTTGTTTTGTGCAAGTTCCCGAAGTGTTCTGAAATAGTTCAGTTCAGAGTCGAATGCTCGAGCTGAGAGTGAAAGGCAAAGGCTACTTGGGTTTAAAAGCTAAAACGAAGAGATTTTCGATTTTATTTATAACAATTTTTTTTTGCGAAAAATTCATTTAAGTGTTCAAGAGGTTTGTGTATATATGTGTGTGTAACATAGATCGTTTATTATATATATAGTAGACATATAATATATATATTTAGTATATATTTTATGATTTATTGGATTCGGGTTAGTTCATTTTTTGGTTTACCATAAACACTAAAATCTGTTTCTTTTTGCAGGTATTTATCGTTATAAATCATTTTTTCATTTCATTCAAGTGAATCTTTTGCTTGTTACAAACGGGAGAGGCTCCACACATATATCCAATCGAACCATAAATAAAATTTCTTTGTGGTCGTTCATAACATAGGTAATAGTGTATATCGTAGTATGTATGGTATGTGTATGTATGTATAAGTATAAAGTTAAATTTATGACCGCTGTCCGAGTGCTGCTCCGAACGGGGTACTCAGTACTCCTGGTCGGCGTCCGGAAGGGGCGATATCTAGGCATTTCCAAAAGAAGCAAATGTGGAGCGAATAAAAAAACGATTTCCAGAGCTGGTTTAACACAGACGGTACACAGTTATTGATAAACAACAAATATTTATCATCAACATCATTTCTTAAAATTATTTAAAAGGGGTTCAGCTTGTTTCTTTTTTTTTTGCTGTTTTTTTAGCTTTGCTCTGATTTGCTTTGTTGCGGCTTTGATTAGCTGCTGTTGCTGCTTTGGATATTATTTAGTCAGCATTTGTTTTTGTTTTAAACGGAAATATTCAATATTCATATTTTGTAAATCTATTTCTGCGTTTGTTTTGATTCAATTAATTTCATTCTGGCGACCGTGTGAGATATCCACAATCAATCCACAATTTATTCGCTCTTTTTGTGTGTGATCACGGCATCGTCGATCTCCTCCTTGGGCTGATCCTTGTCGCCCCAGCCCCAGGTGGCGTGGGTGCCATCGCCGGTACGCTTCACACGCTTCTTGATAATGTCGGGGGACACGCTCTTTAGGTCGTAGGCCCAGCCAATCTTGGCGAAGAAATCAATGAAAGCCGTGGTCAGATTTAGCGAGTATTTGCCAAACTCGGCGGTCTTGTAGTCCCAGGGGAACACATGATGATAGTTGTGCCAGCCCTCACCGAAAGCGAGCATCGCGACCGAGATGTTCTCTGAAGGATTGATGAACCTAATGGGAAGAGAGAGAGAGAGAGAGTTGTTAACGAAGAGTTTTAGTGATTCCGTGGCTATGGCACTCACCTGTCGTAGGGACGGCCACCGAATTTATGCGCAGCACTGTTTACAAGCCAGGTCACATTCAGGATGAAGCACCAGCGGAACATGGTGGCCACGAACCAGGCGTTCACAAAGCTCTCGCCCCAGAAGTACATGGGTGCCACAGTAGGCAGGATGAAGCAAGCCAGAGGCATCAGGATAAAGTAGTGCCTGAGAAGAAGAAACAAGAGAGTTTAGTTGATTGTAAAAGAGCTTAGCTTCACTAGGCACTCACTTCTTCTGGAACATCAGTATGGGGTCGGCACGCAGATCGGATAGGTCGACACCCTTGCCCTTGGCCTTCACCTCGGGATGCTTCTTGCACAACAACCAGCCAATATGCGAAAAGAAGAAGCCGCGCGTGGCATTGTGGGGATCGGCATCGGTTTCCGAGTACTTATGGTGCACACGATGATCGCGGGCCCAGTGATAGGCGGCATCCTGGAAGGCAACTGTATTGAAGATCACCAGCAGCACGCGCAGCGGCCACTTAGCCTTGTAGGAGCGATGGGCCCACAGACGATGAGCGCCAGCCGTAATGCCCAAGCCAGAGACAACATAAAGAGCGAAAGCTATAAGAAGACCAAGATTATATATATTAATATATAATGCCAGCTATATATATTATTAATACAACTATGAATTTAACATTGTGTCATAACATTAAAATTTTATAATCGCTCGATTAATCATCTTCATCTTCAGCTTTGCTTCGCATATACTCGACGTTCCGTATGGCATATGCCTTGCTATCGGCGCTAACCGAGAGGACGCCCAGCATTGTCAGGTTGTGCAGCGAGGACTCGACTTGAAAGTCCAGCCGATGCACTGGATTGTTATTACGCATCGAATATCTCACGTGCTCCTGTATATCGGCGAATGGCGCATAGTCCAAATCCTCAATATCCGTAATGTACCTAATGGCCTTCAGCACATGACGATTGACCTTGCGAGGTACCCGAAAATTATCCATCATATGTTTCTCTCTTTATATATATATAAATGTTTTGTTTATGTTCTGTAGATTTATGTGACAAATATAATTGTCGACAGATATTGCTACGGTCTGATTGGGCATTGTTTGGGCATGCTAACTGCAAATTATTTAAATATTCATATTGAATATTGAATATTTATATCTATTTGATATTCTCTACAGACAATAGCAAATGGATTTCAATTATAATTCATTTACATCTGCGCTAATCAGTTACAGAATTTTATAATATATACATAGTTGTATATTGAATAATAGAGAAATGTTCCATCTATCAATTGTTGATTATGATGATTTGAATTGCGCACTAAGCTTCGCCTGAATTGGGCACTATAATAATTCGTGTCTGATCTATTGGACTATATGATATGACTTTGGCCCAATGTTATCAGTGCCAAATTTGAAACAAACAACGCTGATAACCTTGCAATTGATATGCGAGGCACGCGACGCTAAGATGGCAAACAATGAATGTACATTAAAAATTCTACTGATTGCCATGTGGTCTGTTTGTCTGTCTGGCTGTTGTCAACTTACCCAGAACGATTGTCTGCCATTTGGCCGAGGTAAAGATTAGCCATGCGCCGTAGACGGCAGCCAAGTGTAAATATCCGAATGCAATTATGTTGCGCCAGACGAGCTTCAGTTTGCGCCTGTCGGCCTTCTTCATGGACACAATGTCCTTGACGAGGCCGCCATCGATGGTCTCGGCATCGCACTCGAAGAGCACGCCAGTCGAGTCCTGCTGCAGTTTCGTAGGATTCTGCTCTGATTCGGCGGCAGCTGTCGCCGCGGCAGAGAGCAGCGAGTCAGTAATCGACTGGCCTCCAGCGGTTGCGTTGGGCGGCATAGTGTGTTAGTGTTGGTACCAGCTGAAGTTAAGAGACAGAAAATAAAAGACATTAAATTTTAAATTAATGCATTGCGCAATTAGTTAAACAAATTGACTGAGCTGAACTTGACACGCTTTACTCATAGGTGACTAATTTTGGGTGTCGTTATAACTCTTTAATTATTACCCGTTTTTTTGTCATTGTCGCTGCACGCTAGTTAGCGTTATTAGCTGTTGTTGCAGCAGTTCCCAACAAAAATCAATACTTTCAAGGCTGGTGTCCTTGCTGAAGGATAACTTGCAGTACAGTGAAAGCACACTTGAATAAATATTCACTTTTTCTCTCTCATACATATTATCATTAAATGCCGTCAGATTTGTTGCGATTCTTCCATGACCAATAAAATAGGGAAATAATAAGAATATTGGGACTAAAATAAAAGCCGCCGGCTAAACGGTATATCTGTAGCTCTTACTGTTGATAATTAAAGTGCCGGCACGACAACAAAAAATCATTGTGTGTGTATATATGTGCACATACACACATGTGGGTCACTGGGCGTCTTATGTGAAGGCCAAGCTGGCAAGATTGTGTACACACTTGTTTTTGTGTGGGTTATGGAAAATTTCCCAGCTTGAAATTTGCTATACAAAAACACTAACACATTAGCAACAACAATTAAGAATGAAAGATGTATGCATCTTTGTATGTATAAATAACAATTGAGACAACTTAGCAAACGCAAAGCAACATCAATTAGTAAATTCACTATTTGTTTATTCTGTATATTTCTATATGTATGTGTGAACATATATACTATAGGTTTACCTTTGAGGACGTCTAACAAGTTTTTTGACAAGCTGCCAATTGGAGACTCAATTTTCAACTGTTGAACAGAAAATTTGCGCAAAAGCAAACAAGCGTGCAGTGTATGTAGTATGCTAAAGCTTTCTGCTTACGCAAAAGCTTTGGCAATAACAACACATTGCTTTTCTATGCCGGCAAAGCTTTTGCAGGTGTCCATAAACAGATTAGAAGAAATATTAATAAGAAAACGCAGACATCGAATGATGTTTAATAATTCAGGGTCAGGGTTTTATATTCTGCTGGCATTTAATCACGTTGCTTTATTGCTTCGAGGGTAAAATAGCTATTAACTATTAAATCCAAAATCTGATGAAAGACCATATGTTGTTTGTCTACAGAAAACATACAAATATAGAAAAACACGTCAGCTTAGGCAGTTGTATTCTCTTTTCCGTGTAAATTACGCTACCACCTTGCACTGCATTATTAACATTGAAATATGAGCCACGTGTGTAAGTATGCTTCAAGTCATACGATGCCTACGCCAGCCTCTAACAGCCGTGCACGACAGAGACAGCATAATGGGAAGAGCAAGCAATTCAGTTGGGTTTGTTTGTACAGTACTATTGAACATGTTTGTGTGTGTGTGTGTGTACACTTTCAATTCAAAAGAATATTTGGAAAATGACTAAAAGAGCAGATCGCCAACAAAAGCTTTGCCACTATAGCGCACTCTCGGACTCTTTCCTCGTTGCGTGAACCCATCAGCTGTTTACATGTGTTGCTGGTGGTGAAACATAAAATGTATCAAAACCGGCAACCCGCTGCCAACATCGGCGTGTTAAATGTTGTTGTTTTTTTTAGCTTTTTGTAAATTTGTGATTATGACGGAACAAGCATTAGATAAAGCCTACCCCGCATTGATATTGAACTTGAATTTGATGTGCACGTAGCCCCATTGGCGTCAACGCGCACAGATGAGAGTGCGAAAGCAGACGTAGAGAGCGAATGGCAGTGGGAGAGTGAGAGCGCGCAAAATGAGCGAATAAGAGCTTGATTCACCGACCGGCATCACGATGCAAAAGCGTGTTCCGCTCTGCTCAACGCATAAAATCAGGTTGTCTCGGTCATTCTCTATTGATGCGTCTAATCTACTAAATTGCGTTTTTGAATTTGCGAAAACTAAAGCTTTCCAGTAGAATTTTACCATTATTGGATTTATGATAGATTATTTTCTGCGTACTATGCACAATATAAATAGCAGCAACTTTTTTCAATTAAGCGGTTAAAAAGTTCAACTTAAAGTTCAACGTACGAAAAATTATACAACACAAATAGAAGAGCTACGTTTTAATTCAGTTCTAGTTTGAGTCAGGTAAATTTATTTCATTGGCGTTACAGCACCTAAGTACACATTCGTCCATATGTATATCGATATAAATATATGGATATATTCCGAATACGAAGAGCACATATTTATTATTCATTTAAGCATTAATGAATCTTTTAGTCGAAAGGGTCAGCTTAAATATGCTAAATGCATGGTCGAGCAGCCTAACGCCGCGAGCGAACTATACAAGATTTGTATAAAGTATCTGCGCATAGGTCTCTAACCTTCAGTAAATAGACGCGTTGACCGTTAAAGTACAGCCTTCAGAAGTTAAGAGTTGGAAAAAAATACAAATTTTATGATTTGCATGCTTGATCAACAGATCGCTTAATAGCAATAAAAAGCTCTCAAAGATTTTTGTTGGTTGTTGGTTTTCTTCTTCTTTTTTTTTTTTTTTTTTTTTTTTTTTTTTTTTTTTTTTTTTTTTTTTTTGGTAGTGTATTTTGTATGTATACTCTTGGCTTGTCTCTTGGGTCACTTGGCTACAGTCGAACGTTTGGGTATTAGTTAATGGTTTACGTAAACACTTGCAAATCCTGTCGCAACAGACAAACGTCAACATAAACGTATGTCCATATGTACTAACCTGTTTTGCTGACGAAGTAAATAAAGTTTGCTTTTCGCGGTTTTTCTTTTGATGAATATACAAAATAAAAACTTGAGTTTATCACTTTATTGTTGCACAGAGTATTTGTATGGGTAAGTAGTAACAAAGCGGGCAACGTTGAGACACGTCCGCACGCTCTGATGTCTCAGCACACACTGAGAGCCAGCTGAGCAGAGCGGTGAAATTTAAACCATTTTTTTCGCTCTCAAAACTTTGACGTTGGCAGAGACGCAAAACTTTTACTGCCCCCTTCTTAGCATTTGTTGTTGATATGTTGATATGCTTGGGCACTTCTAACTGTCAACCATATATACATACATTTCAACATATATATGCATGTACATACATATAGGCACACGCGTTCATCAGCACAGATTAGCTCGGGAGATTACGATCAACTGAATTTGCACGTATGCACTTCTCATAGAACTTTGCTAATGTCGCAAAATTTGATCAATTGAAAGTACGTTAATGAATGAAAATGGCTCTGGAACGTAATTTAAGCCCTTCACAAACAACTTACGGACATTGTCAATAGATCAATTACAATTAAAGTTACCGCTGCATTGCAAATTAAACAATTACCTAAAGTACACAACACGAGAGTCTTATAGTAAATAGTGCACTCTGCCCTCAGTATGAAAATATGTGCATGGATATCGAACAAGGAAACGAGATTACCAAATGCTAAACTTTGATAGAAGTTCAAAAATGAAAAGCCATTTATAACTTATTTAAGTGGCTAAACGTGATAATGAATGTTAGAAATGTGTACGTTTTTGTACTCTACTTGTGAAAGTAACACGCCTTATAGATAGCATTTGTCACACTTTTCATGCCTAAATAGTAAATACGAATTTTGATACACCAATTTTGTTAAAATATTAAGAATGTCAGAATTTAATCTTTAAATATTTTAGTAATAACAAACAATATGAAATCTATTTCAGGTTTATGATATGCTGCTTTGACTTAAGACAGGTATTTAATCAAATTGTCGTTCTTTGGCAATGAAAAAATCTAGCTAAAGCTCCTGCTGGTTTTGATTTTCTAGTTTTAAGATTATCTATTGTTATACAAATAGTTTGACTTCTATATGCAGAGGGAGACAAAACATAAAGATTAGCATTATGTAGTAGTGCGACTGACCATTAAATATTAGATAGCGAAATTTAGTGATAAGCCCAATATGTTTTTAAAAATGTTATATATATACAACAATACATCTTTTATTAACTTAGAAACATGTGCGCACGGGAGCTTGATAAAAAATTTAAAAAAAAAATTGTACTGTTCATGAAAATAGTAATATGTAAATAAAATCTAATTAATATCAGTCTAACTTCATAAGTCCTGATTTACATATATTATATGGTCTAATGTTAGCACTGTTTATTTTGCTTTCCTACGCTCACTGTATGCTGTGCCATTATTTCATCCACATCATCCCTCTAAAATCGTCAAAATCAGATCAATTCTGACTTTAAGTAACGGAATCTTTTCGCTCTCTCTTTTTGGTTTCTATCGTAAACAAACTATGAAAATCATTTTATTGTTTCATTTGGTTTACATTATTGTTTAAATACACATTGTCTTATTGTTTAAGCAATCAAAGTATAAATAACAGCTCGAAGAATGTAAGCGATACGCCCAGCTGTTGTTGGATCGTAAGCGATACAAACATCTGTTGCTTGATCGTAAACGGCATTCACGACAGCTGTTAATGCAACAGCATATGCATATCCAAGCCTACATGCAGTTCTTTCAGTTTAACATGCAATTGCGCATGGAAAAATTCGAATTGAACTTTAAAGCCAATTAGATTAGAATCGGATTCTAATCGATTAGGCGTCCGTTTAGCACGGTACTAGATTCACGTAAATTAATTAACCCTAGAAAACTACTAGTCTATACTATAATAAATAAGGTAAGTTATATGAAAAAACCTTGGCGCAACGATACTATTTAAATTCGTTTATTGTATGGAAATAAAATCTCGACTGTGTTCACGAAAATAGCAGCGCCCTATGTGAGCTTTGACTTCAAAGGTGATAAATCATATAATAATTGCGCTAGTCTTTTATAAATTTAGAATTCATATTTATATATAACAAAAAAATTAATATCATTTAATACCCATTTTCAGAACTGAGCAAGGTTCATAAAAATAGCAGTGATTACAATATATAAAAATTTGAAACTTTAAATGCAGGCTATTATTGGTTCTTCGGACTTAATACTTAGTCGGGCAATAATGGCTTGGCCTCTGCGTGGCGTCGAGTCCACCAAGTCCTGGCAACGCTTAACTGGGATATGTCGCCGTGCTTCTTGATCAACTTCCCAAAGTTGAGCTTTATTGGGCTGGCTTCTCTTTGCGACGGTTTGCTTAATGTATCCCCATAGATTTTCAATGGAGCTCAAATCTGGCGATTGAGTTGGCATTACGTCGAACCTTTCTGATTAAAACCAATCATTAGCGAGCTGGCTCGTATGCTTTGGATCGTTGTCCTGCTGATAAGTCCATTTTATGAGCTTTTTCATGATTTTCATGTAGACATTTAGATAATGTCATCAATCATATGGATTGGGTTAACTTCGTTATATGAGAAACATCCAACGTCCAAATCATGATTTTAAAGCCACAATCTCCCTATTAGCATCTACAGCACTGCTATTTTTGTGAACACAGCTGTAACTATTTGCATACATTTTATTTTATCGGTTACTTTTACACACCTATGCAAACACATCATACCCATTTCAATAATTTTCAATAGGGTAGAATATGTGAACGTGTAATAGTTCAAAGGAAAACGCGTGATTTCAAACAATTTCCGAGTGGAAATGAAGTCCTTATCTACATAGAATGAACCTTGCGTCATTGCATGCAACGTCATGTCACTCGGAGACTGTGTGCTGCGCAACAAAATATTGTTTAAGTACACAATTCTAATCTGTTAAGAAATAAATTCTTGTTTTTTTTTTTTTTTTTTTTGCAACGTGCGAAATGCGCATTTGGCTCTGTTGATATACATATATATATTTTGACAATATATGGATTGTTTTTAGTTGTCAGCAAGGTCAACCCAAATTGATATGTATATAGTTTTGCAACTTACTTGTACAATTATTAACCAATTTAGTTGTTTAAATCCAAAATTATACTGATGTGTGCAAAAAAAAGTTTCTAGGGAGGAGAAGTTCTTGGCTTCTCGAAAAATAAATATCGAGCTCACAACAGACATTATATCGATGTTATGTAAAAGTTGGATACAAAAATCGTTGTCAAATATAATATTTTTAAATTTGTATTTGCATTATTTGAATATATGCATTGTTTTATTTCTAGCATTATTATGCAATTTTAAATTTAATACACTTTTTAATTTTTTGGCAAAATACAAACAGGCATAGTGTAAACTGTCAAGGAAATTTATTTACTGGCATTGTTATCGACAGGATATTCCATAATTTTAATCGATAGCCAGCACTTGGTCCATCGCAATTTGTATTTAAATTGAAGACCAACAACATGTCAAAACAAATCGTAGAAGACGAAAATACAGCAAATGATCTAAATCAAGCCTTAAAAGGGGCAGTCGAGGAGCGGGATGAGGTTAATAATCAGGTATATAGTCGCGCTATATCTGTAAATCAGAATGACAAATAATATCTTTGAAGGAACACACTGTAGACACGGCCTCAGCAGATCTCTCAAATGAGAGCAAAAATAGTGCAAGAACGTCTAACAACGAGTTCAATGAAGAAACAAACGTGGATAAAAATGATGCGCAAGACCACATAGACTTTAATCAAATCGACAATGATGAGCACAAACCAATTGGCTGCTTCTTTAACGCTAATCCAACTCTACGCATTGCAGTGCACGGCATGTCGGAGCTGGTCAACTCGCGGCTCTCGGCCGAAGCACTGGATATTTGTGTAGAGCTGCTAGAGGCAGGTGTGCCGCCAAGGGCGCTGTCTGAGGTTGTGCTACATATTCTAGACGTCAAGGTGAAGAATTACGAAAGGGAACACGGTCCCATATTACCATAGGGCATCCAGAGATCAGCGTTAATCCCAAAAACATTGTTTCAAGATAACGCTTATCAACACCTGAGTGACACCTGCAAACTACAGTCGTCTAGACGCAAGCAAATCAAGAGATTAGCGCAGCAATAAAACCGATCAATTGCGATACCATTGTTAATTATATTGTATATATTTTTGTTACTCTAGAAAATACAACCCGCTAAGGAAAGGTTTAACTATATTGTACTAAAATTAAAGTATTTATATCAACTAAGCTCTTATTGCGTTTTTGTGTCCACAAAGAGAACACGCTGCTCGTCCTCTGCGGTCATATCCTTATCGCCCCAGCCCCATAGCTCATGGGATCCATCACCAGTGCGGCGCACTCGTCGCTCCACCGTCTCCGGGGCCACTGACTTCAGGTCGTAGGCCCATCCAATTTTCGCGAATAGATCTATGAACGCTGTGGTCATGTTCAGCGAGTAGTTGCCCCATTCGGCGGTCTTGTAGTCCCAGGGGAACACATGATGATAGTTGTGCCAGCCCTCGCCGAAGGTAAAGGCCGAGACATACGGACTCTGCGACGGATTAATGTTCCTATATGAAAATCATATTTGTATCATAAATGTGTATTGTGATCATTATAGAAGCTATACATACTTGTCGTAAGGACGTCCGCCGAATTTGTGAGCTGCGCTATTGACCAGCCAGGTCATGTTCAGCTGGAAGCACCAGCGGAACATGGTGGACACGAACCAGGAGCACAGGAGCGATTCGTTCCAGCACATCATGGGTATGACCGTTGGCAATATGAAGCAGGCCAGCGGCATGAGAACAAAGTAGTGCCTGTCAAGTGGAGAGATCAGAGTTTATAGTTGGACTACCTCTCTACATAGAGCTTAGCTCTAGCTACTCACTTGAGCTGGAACATGAGTATGCGATCGGCGCGCAGATCGGTCAGGTCCAAGCTCTTGCCCTTGGCCACCACATCGGGATGCTTCTTGCACAGAAGCCAGCCGACGTGCGAGAAGAAGAAGCCACGGGTGGCATTGTGTGGATCGGCATCCGTCTCGGAGAACTTGTGATGCACGCGATGATCGCGCGCCCAATGGTAGGCGGCATCCTGGAAGGCGATCGTATTGAAGGTGATCAGGATCAGGCGCAGCGGCCACTTGGCCTTGTAGGCACGATGCGCCCAGAGGCGATGAGCGCCGCCCGTGATGCCCAACATGCCCGCAACGTACAGGAAAACGGCTGAAGAGACAAAAGTTGATGAAATCAAGGACAGATGGCGGAGCATCTCTGTGCAGCTTACAGAACACAATTGTTTGCCATTTGGCTTGGGTCAAGAGTAAATAGCCGCCGTAGAGCGCAGCCATGTGCAAGTAGGCAAAGAGTATTATGTTGCGCCAAACCCATTTCAATTTGCGTTTCTCGGCCATCTTCAGCTCTATAACATTCACGTCCAGGGCGCCATCGTTGGTCTCCGCATCGTCTTCGAAGAGCACGCCCGTCTGCTTGGAGGCTCCAGCTTTGGAATTGCTCAGCACTGGCCCCAACTCCGAGTTAACTGCCAGGCCATTGGCCGGGCTACTCACAGCATTTGGTGGCATTCTTTAAGGTAAAGCTGGAGAGAATAAAACAGATATATATTAGAAATATTTGAACTTAATTTCGAATAGTCTGTTTGTTCTCATCAGAGATGTAAGCTGGAGCTAGTAACTTTGGCTTCATACGTAAATTAAACTATTCTTATAGTTCTTTATGTCAAGAGAATAAGTCTATAATTAAACCATATTGATCTCAGTAATTATGCAAGTCTAGACAAGGTAACGTAGTGATTAGTTTAAAGATCGTTAACTTCTGATATTTATACGTGACACAAACACATATACCTCTAATAAATTAGCTATAACAGTTTGTAGATCTTTGAAATTTGGAATGCGGTATATATCACCTATTCTATATTGAGTTCAGAAAAACTATTATATGGCAGAAGTATGACTCGTCAAAAAATTTATTATCTTGGAAAAGTTAATTTGTCTGGGTTAGCTTACCTATTTGCTGAGTTCATAAGTAATATGATATGGTGTAAGTATTTGACTTGCAGAACAAATTTCACAATTGTGAAAATTATATATGTATTTTAAAATTTTCATTATCGCCAATTTTTATGCAAGTTAAACCGAGCAAATTATATTTATTATTATTTTTGTAGTAAATCTATAATCTAAAAGTCTTTAAAATCTGAGACAGCATTTTTCGCACGTAACATATTTAACTTATAGTTCTGAGAGGAGCACATTTTGAATATTTAATGGTTCATAATAAACTGCACTTTGATTTTTTTATTAAATACTCGTATCTAGTATACATATATGATTATAACTCAATTTTAATTCAATATCAATATTCTAAGTCACTTTCGCAGTTGAAATACTCACCAAATGCTTTAGGTACTTCTGTTTAATTGAGGAACTGTTGAAAGCGGGAAAGCCGTATCGACCTGCGCCGGGAAGAGTTGATTTCTCACTGTGTCCACGATCGGACAAGTTAAACGAATGGGATCGTCTTTCCTCTTTGGCGTTCTTCTTTACCACGATATTCGCTTAGTTTAAGCTTTGCAAATTATCTGAATTGGTTTGAAAGGGGAACATCGACTGCTTGCCGTATTTATACTGAATTCAAAAATCGTAAGATGCCTTTCATAAAGAAATTCTGATTAGAAATTAATCTCTCTAACGAGCGCAACTAATGAGACTTAATGGAATTAATGCAATCTTTGCTATTTCATCTTCTCCCATTGAACTGTGGTCAAACACTCTCGTTGGCAACTAAGTCGCGTGTTGGCCAAAGTACATGATTTGCTACGTCTGGACGCCAGTTGTGAATCATAAATGACTTCATTGAAATTAGGGACAGCCAGGTTATCTCTTAATTAAAATCATTTTAAACTTATGCTCAAAGCGCCATCTACATGTGAGGGCTGTTGATAGTTTAAAAAAATACCCGGCATTGGCCTTTAAAATAGTTTTGTCAAACTAAAATTACATTTGATCTTAGTTTTATGGATTCTATTATCTAAGTAGAGTATCAACCCAAGATAAGTTTTTGCGTCTTATAAACAGTTTAACATAAACCAATTAATTGTTCTCTTGTGTTGGTGTATTTAAATAAGTTAACAAATTCAAAGTTATTCAGTTCTGAACTGCGTGTAAGAATGAAGAGTATGTACATATTTTAGCGTGTCTCACATATATACTGAGTCTTCTCTTATTTATCTTTGGGCTTTTCAGTTGAATCAGGTTCGCTATTGTCACTGCTGTCCTTTTTCGATTTTTCAACAGGTTTTGGTTCGGCTGCTTTCTTAGATTTGCTTTTGGTCTTCTCCGCCTGCTTCTGTTTCTCAGCCTCAACAATGGCTGCCTCTTCCTGCTGTTTCTTGACCTCTTTCTGAGCAGCTGCCATGGCCACATCTTCGTCATCCCAATCAGCCATGGAACGATCACGCTTTAGCCACGAGTGTGTGGTATCTGCCTTGAACGCTGATATGAAACGAAATAATATATTTAGTATATTATAGCTGGTTTCAGTCAACCGAGAATCCACTCACTGTTATTGAACCACTTGATGCCGTTCTGCATGTCTTCGATGATCTCGCGAGACGTATACATGACCTCGTTCTGCACCGCCTGGTGGAACGTTGATGTCTCAAACGAGGCCGAGTAGACGGAGTTGCGATCATGATTGAGTGCGCGCTGCGGAAATTTGGACAAGCACGCGGCCAGCTCTAGGGCATGGCCCAACGCTGTGCCGGTGGGCACAATGCGGTTCACTAGACCGATATCGTGCGCCTCCTGTGAGCCCACTGGTCGTCCAGTGAGTATCAAATCCAGCGCGCGTGACAGTCCAATCATGGCGGGCAGACGCACAGTGCCACCATCAAGCATGGGTACACCAAAGCGCCTATTGAAGAAGCCCAGCACAGCGGACTCCTCCATGACGCGCAAATCGCACATGAGCGCCAGCTCCAGGCCATTGGCTATGCAATAGCCATTGATGCCGCAAATGACCGGCTTTTTAATGTGGCGACGAGTGGGTCCCACAGATCCCTCAGGGCGCATCAGAATATCAACGCTTATCTCCTCCTTCTCGTCAGTGCTGATCTCAAGTATATCAAATCCCGAGCAGAACGATCCACCCACACCATAGAGGACCGCCACCGGCGATGTATCGTCCGCCTCGAAGGCGGAGAAGGCCTCACAAAGCTTCGAGGCGGTTGTCGAGTCAATGGCATTGCGTTGCTGTGGACGATTTATGCCGATTAAAGTTATATTTTTATCCTTCTCGATAATTATGCTTGGGGGCTGTTCCGGTTCCTTTTCGGCGTTAGTTGGGGTCTCTGAAAAATCATTAGTTTATTTAATTTACTTTGTAAACATTATGTCACGTTGGTTTCAACTACCTTTGTACAATGCTTTTGTTGAGCTAAACATGCGGCGAGGCGCCGAACGTAAATGTTGGCCAATATGCTGGCCCACTTGTATTCCGAATTTGCGGAGCATGTTTAAATTGTTAAGAACTTAATTAATTTAGTACAGATGTTTGTTAAACTTTCTTAGCAATCAAAGAACTGCAAATTAAATTCTCAAAACAAATTTCTGAATATCGTATAAAGGGCTGCCACCTATGGTGAAGCAATACAGCTGTAAATTATACGATAGTTAATCGCGCAATCGATATTTAGTGGTGAGAAGTCGAAACACTGAACGATCAGTTTATTCGTTATGGGCCTTTAAAAATAAATGCATATGACTGCCATAATTTACTTATTTATTTCTATTTCATTGAATATGTTTTTTGAAAGCTATTGCAATTATCGATACTTTGAATTTGGTATTTTCCCCATCGCTATTATGCGCGGTTTGATAAACGCAAAATTCACCATGATTCTGGTGAGAAATTTTCAATGAGAAAGCTTTCAAGGCTTGGAGCGCGCCGCAATGTACTCAGTTTGGAGCGGCGTCGAAAAGCGAGCGGTTGATTGTTAGCCAGCAGCAGCAGCAGCAGCAGCTAAGGAGCGGTACCAATATAGAATATTAGAAATTTGTGTGTGCGTCGCATATCGTATATAAGTCATGTATCACCTGAAGAGTTTGGCCCGACAGGGAGCCATGCGTCAGCATGAGCTGACCGCCTTGGCGAAGGCATTGCCCACTGCTGTGCTTCAGACGCGCAACTACCAAATTCCCGATCGTCTAAAGGACGTGCCAACTGCCAAGGATCCCCGTTTCTTTGACATGGTTGAGTACTTCTTCCATCGCGGTTGCCAAATATCAGAGGATCGCCTGATCGATGACATGAAGGGCAAGCTGTCTTTGGATGAGAAAAAGCAGAAGGTGAAGGGTATTCTCATGCTTATGCAACCCTGCGATCACATCATCGAGATTGCATTCCCACTGCGTCGCGATGCGGGCAACTACGAGATGATTACCGGCTATCGTGCACAGCACAGCACACACAGGATTCCCACAAAAGGAGGTAAGACCCACCACACCATTCCGCACCAAGCCAAACACAAACGAATATAACAAACATTTTTCGATACGCATTTCGGGTTTCCTTTTGCGTCTCTTTTGCTCTCCTCTCGTCGTGTCTCTTTCCATATTCTGTCTGCGTTTACCTTTTGCCGGCATATTTGTTTTGGATTTTGTTTCGTACTCTCGGCGTGTGGGAAACATCTTGCCAACTGTTGGCAAAATCGATTTTTCTCTACATCTGATGCAGTTCTTTCCTGCCGTTGGCATTATGTAACCAGCGCACTCGTGTGTCGGTCCGCTTACTAACTGTGTGTCCCCATTGGGCATCTTCTCTCTCGCTCTCGCGCACTCTCCACGTTTTGTTTACATTGACGCTGTTCCCGTGGTATTGCGTCTGTATTTTCTGTACCGTTGGTCCAGTTGCATAAGCAGCTGGTAGGGTATTCCACGTGCCGCCAATTGATTTCCAAACCCTTCAAGTGTAGTTCACACGCCCCCATCCGCCTGGCACGCCCACCAAAAGACGAATGTATCGTGCGAATTAACACCAATTTCGATTCACCTAACGCCTTAGCAAAAACAAAATTTCAATAATTTGTTGTTTTTGTCATTTTGCGCTTTGTCTGTATTCTATTTTTAATAACGCTATTTATTCCTTTGCTTTGTATTTTGTTTTGTTTTTCTTTTTTCCAATTGGAAGAAGAACAGTACAGCGAATAGTGCACAGTGTGACAAACATGTGTTAATAGGCTCAAAAGAAAAAAAAAACAATTTTTGTTGTCAAGCACGTGGCCCCGCCCCCTTTTCTATTTACTGTTATAGAGTGAATAATGAATATACTAATAAATGACGTCATCAGTTAGTTAGTTTATTGGGATATCATTCATATTATTTGAAACATTTTAATTATATTTTTAGCGTTTTAAAAATTGTACACACGGTTCTTATCGGACCTTAGCTAGGCAAAAAAAAAAAAAGAAAAAAAAACAAACTGAAAAGTAGACTAGAAAATAACAAAAAATACATATGTATATAAATTTGTGTCGTATCATAGTATATAATTGTGGCCGTTATTTTGCTTTTGCCTATTGCTATTGATAGGAGGTTTCGCCCTCGGGAGGCACACGGAGCATAAATCGACGAATAAATGTACAACTTTATGATTTTATTGCCGATTTCATATCATCATTGAAACTGGTTGTAAACAAGTGTGACTTGCTCTTGCTGTTGCCAACCACACGAGCTTGTTAATTATGCCTTTAAATATTTTGATATTTCGATATTTTTCTAACGGCTACTAAAATTATAAGCATATAGACTAAATATTTATATTTATACTATTTGAATGTACTCGATATGGGTGCTAAACTGTTTAGCGGCATTTGTGCGGCCTTTTAGTGGGCACTTGAAATAGGTTCAAGTTTCATTACTCTAATTAATGTTAATTGCATTCAGTACAGTAAGCGCACGTCTCTGTGTGTGTGTCTGTCTCTCTGTCTGTGTGTATGATTGTAATTTATTGACACAAAATGACTTCATAGCTCGGCTCGAATTCGGCAAAATACATTTTGCAGTTTATTCTCTGAACGCTTTGACGTCAAAAACTAATCATAAAATAAAAGAAGGAGAACAAGAGAGTGTAGTTAAATGAGAAAAAAACACAATTTTTAAATACTCTCATAAGGCTTAAATGAAATTCCTAACGATTTCTAGCGAATACATGATATAATAAAAACATATATAATATAATATTCTAGTATAGTATCAGCTCTTTCTTTTATTAACTGTAGAATTTTCAGTAGTAGAATTATTATTTAGCTCGGAATTCCTCTAATAATAATAAATATTAATCAACAATTTCATAAGTTAAATTCTTATACATATATCAGCTGATTCTAAATGAACTTTCGTTCTCTGTTTCCCTTTTTAGGGTTGATCGCAAGCTATATTTTTATTTAGTTTTTTTTCCACACTTCCCTTATCTGTTACATGCCTAATAAGAAATTGAAAGTACCCTTCGCAAGACAATAAAATAAAAGAGTATAAAAAGCCGAAAACACAAAAACCGGTTTTCGACGCGCAGCATTGGGTGTGCAAAAAAAAAAAAAAAAAAAAATACTGTATCTCCCTCAATCAGCAAATTTAATTTTAATTTCTTGTGCGCTTCACGTGATGCGCACGTTGTGCGAATAGCATGAGTCACATGTTTCACACTCTAGAGTCTAGACACACTGTGCAGCAAGTGAATCGGGTGCTTTGGGCTGTCTTTATATACTTACAGCTTTCTATGTCGTTGAACTGTCCGACAATTTTATTCATTTTATTTGCTATATGTGAATGTATAAGCCGATCCATACATGTAAATGATATATGTACACATATGGTATTTGTAATGGATTGACAAGTAAATGAGACTGATAGCAGCTGAAATATGCATGGGCTAAAGCATAAAGCATATACTCGTAGTACATATTTCCCCAGTTTGAGTACATTGTGTGTTTGCCTTCAATTATCGAAATTTACTTGGAAATCAAATGATGTTTCCGCTGATAATCTAAGCAATGTAATAATATACGTGTTATCAATACACGCCTTATGTACAGTAGAGGCTCGTTAAGTAAAGATTGTATGTGTGTGAGAAAAAGAGAGAGAGAGAGAGAGAAAGTTGTTTACAAAAGTAAAATACTAACATTTATGTTATAAACAAGGTAATAAATAAAATTGAAAAACATTCTTGAAAACATATAAATAAACATTTTAAATGTTTTATGAAAAATATTATGGAAAATATATATTTTCAAAATGCTAGTGTTAATAAAAAATACGAAAAAATACTAGAAAATATATATTATACAAATTTATTCAAATTCTATATATTAAAAAAATTCAACTTAATTTATTAAAAATTCAAATATGTAAGTTTGTTTAGTTTTTTGTTTTCCCCGAGTCGACTGTACTTGATATATCTACATACATACATATGTATATACGATTTGTTTACAACATTTCTAATCTATAAGGCTACCATTCGCAATTTGTATTCAAATAAGTTGTGTCAATATTTAACTGTTGTGTGAAAACCTACCTTGTTGTTCATTTGTTTGCTTACATGTTTCTTACTCAAGTGGCAAATATTTCAGATAAACTCTCGATATTACCAGTTCCACCTCCATCATACGAGCTGTACATGTATTTGTTCACTTGTTCAAATGCTTCAATTGTGTTGCCCAGAATGCATTAGTGTTAGGTGTTTACAATTATTTTTGGCAGTTCACGACGTGTTTGTATGTAAGTAGGTACATACGTACATAGCTCTCAGGCCATTTCCTGTACTATCTGGATTCGACTATATCTTATCATATATATAACTTAAGATTTCGTCAGCCTACGCTAAAATCCAACATGTATATATCATATGGCTCAGTCAGCTGATGTGCTCGGACCCCCAGCGAGTCCAACCGGTTTTGTCTATGAATTTGCGATTGCTGTTGCCAATGGCACACAAACACACACACAAACTCATAGACGTACTACTCATAGACGTGGCAGCATATATAATATGTAAGCCCCATACGATCGAGCCCCCAAAAAAGCAAAAGAACTTATCGCGCGCGATTGTATAACCTATATAGTATATACACATACATACACACACAGCTATGGGCAAATATATATATATATATAGAATTCACTGTATCTTCTAGATTGGCAAGCTCTATGCATAAATAGATTGCTGCGATACGTGTGTGGTAGAACGTAGAACTATGAAAAAAACATAAAATAGGAATCACGCGTTCGATATTTGTTGTTGTATGTTTTCTCCTTTTTTTTTTTTAATGAAAATATTTGCCGAAAACAAGTAAACAAGCGTCTTGTTTTTCCTCAGTGTAGAGATAAAGCCGGTTATTATTAACGTATCTTGCAAGGCCCACAACGGCTACGCAAGAATAAATAGAGCTGAAGTTTTGTTTTTTGAGTATACGAAAAAAAAAAATGTATTTTTGCGCTGTTGTTATGCGCACAAATTGTGGAATGAAAGAAAGAGAAAGGGCAATGGATGAGAAATAGCAAAGAAAACAGGCAACAGCGCATTGAGCTTTTTATTGTTGTTTCTGATTTTTTTTTATTGCTTTGCAGAATTTTGTTCGTCAAGTTTTTGTTTGTTTACGCTGCTGTCCAGCGCCGTTACTTGAAGAAGCTGCACTGCTTGGCAGCGTAAGCAGCGCACCAATACATGCATGCATGCGTGTGTGTGTGTGCAGCTGATAAGATTCTTCAAATGCCGAAATCTGCTTTGCTGGAATGCCAAAGTTCAAACGGATTCATGGCCAAGAAATCAAATTGGACGCTTGGCAACCGCATTTAATGAGCAAAAAATGATTTGTTTATTTTTTGCTTGTCTTTTTTTTAGGGGGCTTGTCTATTGACAAAAAAGGAAAACTGATTGATGATTATTTTGAATATGCTAGTATGCTATTATATATACAAAATACTTATACACATACATATGTGTGTATGTTGCATGTACATAGGCACCTACATACAAATGTATATGTCTATAGATAAAAATTATTAAACTTTGTACAGGGTCATTCATATTTTATAGATTATATCGTAAAATTGAGCAACAAAATATATTTGAAACGCACGCCACTTGTAGCATAAGGAAGTTGCTTATCTAATCGTGAAGAACTTTTTTTTTAAGATATCTAAAGATAAATGTGACAAACAAGATAAGCAACAAATGAAAATACTTGCTCAGCGGACCCAGTTCGCCTTCAAGTACTGCGCCTTGGCTAAAATGCAGCAACCAAATGCGATTATGGCCCAGTTGCACGTGAGCAGGGAAATGCGAAGACAAATTGTCTCTCAGAAATCAACTTTTGCTTTCAAATAGGTACAGAAAAAGAAACGAAATATCGCATATGTTTTTCTTAGTCTATTCTTAGCGCTTTGTAATTGGATTTAGGCCAACATAATATAAACAAGACAAATGCAAAGCTGCTCAGAAGGAATGTACTTTTCTATATATATACATATACATATACAAAGAATACTTTGCTTAGTATAGAAATTGCTTTCAAGGCTTCATTGGGTGCCCAGGCACAACACCTGTCGTATACGTAATGCTTATGCAATTCGTTTTGTTGCAGGCATTCGCTTCTCGTTGGATGTGTCACGCGATGAGGTCAAAGCCCTGTCCGCGCTGATGACCTTCAAGTGTGCCTGCGTCGATGTGCCTTTCGGCGGTGCCAAGGCCGGCCTGAAGATCAACCCCAAGGAGTACTCCGAGCATGAGCTGGAGAAGATCACGCGTCGCTTCACCCTTGAGCTGGCCAAGAAGGGCTTCATTGGCCCCGGCGTCGATGTGCCCGCCCCCGATATGGGCACTGGCGAGCGTGAGATGTCCTGGATTGCCGATACCTATGCCAAGACCATCGGCCACTTGGACATCAATGCCCATGCCTGTGTCACTGGCAAGCCCATCAACCAGGGCGGCATTCACGGACGCGTCTCGGCCACCGGTCGCGGCGTCTTCCACGGCCTGGAGAACTTCATCAACGAGGCCAACTACATGAGCATGATTGGTAAGTCACACTGCCATTGCCATTGATTGGAAGACTTTCCTCTAACCATGTTGTGTTCGCGCAGGCACCACGCCCGGCTGGGGCGGCAAGACCTTCATTGTGCAGGGCTTCGGTAACGTGGGCCTGCACACCACCCGCTATCTGACGCGCGCTGGCGCCACCTGCATCGGTGTGATTGAGCACGACGGCACACTGTACAACCCAGAGGGCATTGATCCCAAGCTGCTGGAGGACTACAAGAACGAGCACGGCACCGTCGTCGGCTATCCCCATGCCAAGCCGTACGAGGGCGAGAACCTGATGTACGAGCAGTGCGACATCTTCATTCCAGCGGCCGTCGAGAAGGTCATCAACAGCGAGAATGCGGGCAGACTTCAATGCAAAGTGCGTATCAAAAAGATACGAGCAAGGCTGTAGGCAAATGATTGATGCGGGCTCGACTCCGTTTGATTTGAAGCAGAGAAACTTCCACTCTCAAAAGTCTTTACTGATTGTAATATAATCAAATGGATCCATGTCAATTCTCGCAGCTTACAGTCTTGTTCATGATGCTTTCCCAGTACTTTTCCTTTATTAAGTGTTTCACTTTTCCGCACACAGATCATTGCCGAGGCTGCCAACGGACCCACCACACCCGCTGCCGACAAAATACTCATTGATCGCAACATTTTGGTCATCCCCGATCTGTACATCAATGCCGGCGGTGTCACCGTCTCCTTCTTCGAATGGCTCAAGAACCTGAACCATGTCTCATACGGTCGCCTGACCTTCAAATATGAGCGCGAATCCAACTATCATCTGCTCGGTAAGTTGTTAGGGTCTTTAACTATATAGGCTTAGGCGCACCATCTGCAGTTTCTGCGCACACTATCTACCTATATTGCTATTTATCTTATTTATCTATCCATCTATCTATCTTACATATAAGAATATATCATAGGCTTGTACGTTTAATCATGCCATTTCATTTAAAATTCATTTAGGGGTATATGGTTTTCTAAAATTCTATTATTATTTGTTATATTTTATATCTATTAACTCGGGCTAGTTGTCCCAGCCAAACCATGTAGAAAAGCAACTGCTCGGCTCGGCTTGACTCTGAAGCACTTGCTGTTCCCGTTTGGTTTCTATCGAAAGACACAAATCACCAAATTGAATATCTCAATTCATTTTAGTGCTCAATTCTCAATCAATATTCGTATCTCCAACTATTATGACCGTACTTTAATTATAATGCCATCTTAGTAATTCGTTGTTTATTCTATTTCTTCTTTTTTTCTGTTTCTCTATCACCAATGTAGACTCAGTCCAACAGTCAATTGAAAGAATTATTAACGACGGTACATTCTTATTATTAATTCTTCTTTTTCTATTATCCTCCTGAACCCCCCATAAAAAAACAAAACAAATGCCTTTTACTGTTACTCATGATGTATACACCTACACACACACACACTCGCATACACAGACACACGCCCAGAACCGCCTACATTAATTCTTGTTACCCTGTATAATTTAGAAAACTTTTCTGTATGCTCTATTACACAGATATATGTACATATACATATATATTTGTCTTTGTAGTTTTTGTTTTGTAGCTTTTGGATTTTTCCTTTATTTTTTTGAATGTTATGTTCCTTTTGTCAGCATTATCCGCACCATCAATGCATTGACACAGATCTTGAGGATCTGTTTAGATCACACCCGGACATCTCTTGCCAGCTCCCCATCCATTTACATACATATTTATACACATACACATCTTGTCTGTGCTCTAACTGTTCCTCCATCAGTGCTCTAACCTAATCTGTCTAGTTAACACCTTGGCGGCTGCTGCTAACGTCACAAATATCCAGCATGAGGCATACTGAATTAATCGCTTTATTTGTTTTTTGTATCTCTCTCCACTCTCTCTCTCTCCCTCGCTCTCGTTCATCTTGTGAAATGGCCATAATATAGAATCCGTACAAGAGTCCCTGGAGCGTCGCTTTGGCCGTGTCGGCGGTCGCATCCCCGTGACGCCCTCCGAGTCGTTCCAGAAGCGCATCTCTGGCGCCTCCGAGAAGGATATTGTGCACTCTGGCCTGGACTACACCATGGAGCGTTCCGCACGCGCCATCATGAAGACGGCCATGAAATACAATCTGGGTCTGGACCTGAGAACCGCTGCCTATGTCAACTCCATTGAGAAGATCTTCACCACATACCGTGACGCCGGTCTGGCCTTCTAAGCTTCGCAGCTACAACTTAACTAGTTTATTAATCAACCGAACTCAGCAAGCCAGAAATCATTAAGCATATGGCATCGCATCAGCGCACCTCCGTTTTTAGAAAGTCACAAATGAAAATTAATTTATAATGATCGACAAAGGACTAGCTGAAGCTGAATTTGTTCAACTTTTTAACTTCATATTGTGTTTTACATTAAGCTAAACAAACAACAAAAAGAAAAGCGAGCTTGCTTTTACAATGATTATTGTTGATTTTCTGTAAGTTTTTAAGTTTAATGAGCGTTAAAGTGAAGCAATTGCATTTTTCAATTATGTCTCGTAACGTACGAAACGCTCCGTTGCCGCAACTTTTAAAGTAATCAAATATACACATAAACTAAACAAAACAAACATTAAATCATTTGCGTTTTCTCTTTGCATTTAGATTTAATTAAAATTGACAATTGTCGTTGGCCACTAAATTAATCACAATATCAATTTTAGTCTTTCCATTAGGTATACATTTTATAATTGATTGGAATGTATGGGAATACTACGATATGTTTAGATATATATATATATATATCAAAAAAGATTGGGAGTTATACATAATACTATAAGTACACTTTTCATAATCGTTTTTGCGAACGCTACAAAACAAATTACACGCCAAAAAACCTGGCATAAATTGTGGAAGATAGTTTGTGGTCGTATATATAGTAGAAAACTTTCAACTTAACTACTAAAAGATTGTTCTGTGCGTATTAACTTGGTGCTTGATCCAAAATGAGTTCATTGCTTCAATTTAAATGGCCAAAGATTTGGGGAAGAGCTGCTGTTTCACATAATCATCAATCATTTCCATAAGCAGGGCGCGCGTCACCTTTGGGTGCTGCAGCACATAGCCAAAGTCTTTTAGTTTCGTATTGTCCAGATTGAGGTGCTTATGATGCAGTTGCTCCTCATCCAAGTAGGGTGTCAGCGGTGTATTATCAATGCCATTGTGTTGACAAATATCTGCCCAGGGCGCCATGTGCTTATCATTGATTTCACCCACCGTGTCGCTTGGATACAGCTAGAGCAATGAATATTTAGTGATTAAATATACGATGAATCATTGAGCAAAACTGATGACATACCTTGGTCAAATTGGACATAACAATGCCAAAGTATTCAACATTGATTTCAAAAATATCTACTAGCAACTCGCTGATGCTGCCCTGCGTAGACGCTGAGTCATCCACAATGTTGTAGACTTGTCCAGCCGTTTTTGGACTCTGAGCTAATTGCCAAATCGCAGCACACACATCGTTCACATGCACCGTGTTGAGACGCATCGCATCGTTCCACAACAGTTTCATTGTTTCGCCCAGAAATTTGTATATGGCTGCTATTATGATGCGTGGCACTGTGGAGTAGTTATAATATTTGTTATTTGTACAAATATACAAAACACATTGTGATTGTGATTACGATTGCGATTGCTGACGACGATGTTGACTTACTTAAGTAGCGCTTATCACCAATGCCATAAACAATTGGCAGCCGCACAATCGTATAGCTAAGGTTATTAATCTGTGCCAACTCCTTTTCGACTTTAAGCTTTTGTTTGGCCACGCCCGTCCAGGGCTCTAGCTTGCAGTCTTCTTTCAGCGGCGTCTTCTCGCTGCTGTTCACACAGCCCGAGCTGAGCTCCACAAAGCGTTTCACCTGCTGGTTGGCTGCCTCATTGGCACAGTTCATGCTCAGCTTGTAGATGCCCTCCTTATAGACGGCATCATCTTGGTTCGCACGCGTCTCGGCTGCACAGTTGATGACCAAATCCCAGCCTCGATTCGTTGTTGGGTGTGGTGCGAATGCCAATTTGCATGAGGCTGCAATACACAAAGGACCCCAAGCAACAACAAAAATCAAATCAAATCAAATCAAAACCTGTTTTAGTCTGTGTGTGCGTGAGCGTGGTGTGTATGCGTATGCGTGAGTGGGTTGCATTATTACATACCGGCATTAATTAAATTCGCGCTGAAAAACTCGACTTTATCATGAGCGAAGGCCTTAGTTTGCTGTTCATTCAGCCAAGCCATTTGTGGCGGCGTCTTATCAACAATTCGTATTTCCTGCGTCAGATCATTCTTCAGCAAGTAAGTCACCAAGTTGCGTCCAATGAAGCCGCAGCCTGCAGATACAAACAAGATAAGTCGCAGTTATCGCTCTGATTGCACTTCCCCACTTGCACTTACCGCCCAAAATTAAAACAGTCGGTTTCTCAGACATACTGCAGCGACAACAACGACGACGACGACGACACAACCAACAGCGTGACTACGACGAATGACTAGACTCTTGCTTCTGAATCGTTTCCAAACCTTTAAATTATATGTAAACGGGACGCGAATCAAATACAAATGCAAGCGTCAGGGCTGAACTGTTATGCTCGTTTGGTTCGATAACCGATTGTCCAATTACACCGCTGCTATCGAGCTACAGATATCGCGGTCGCATCAACAAGTCAGTGGTTCATTTCGGAGTTTTTAAAATGATTTAAAATTTTTATATTTTATTCCTTTACCATTAGCTCAAGCTCTCTCAAGGATTCGACTGGAATTTAAAAGCTTTTCAAAGTATAAAGAATATATGCTTAGTTGTATTTCTAGCTATTGGCACAATATGGTAAATTTATATTTAAAAATTATTAGCATGACCACAAGTCGAATTTTGGTGCCTTAAATCCACGAACTATTACATCGGCTTGCCACCACCCAGTCCTTTCTTCTGTCTCTTTAATGAACTCTTCGACCTTGGCATCTGTTGAATTTAAATTCAAAATGGCGATATCTTCATAAATAGTCAATTCCTTGCAGCATTGCAACTCAGATTTGTCCGTCTCATGCAACAAATGCAAATGAACATTTTTACAACTTCGGGGCAACTGACTGACAACATCCTTAGGAAACAGTTTCCAAGTCTCCACCTGTTGATCTTGCTCATTTGTAAATAGTTCCAGTTCCAGAAACACATTCGTAGTCTTCAGCTCTGTTGACCACAACGTGTAGAGCTCCTCGCATGTGAGCAGCTGCAGAAGCGTTTGATTCATAGGCCCATCTGGCATCGAGTGCAGGTCACCGTGGTATTTTGATATGGATGCGTGAGGTATGTGTATTGTGTACGACTCTGATGGCATAAATCTATTACTTCCAAATAGAAATCGCAAACTTTTGACGGTATTGTTGCTCCTGAACGTTCGTCGTATTAGCTGAGAAAAAATTTTAATTGAAATATATTCATTTACGCGTTGTTTATATTTACTTCTCGCATATTGCTGATGGCATCCTTGGTCTGCTTAGCCAAGGATCGTTGTTTTTGTAGTTGATAGTGCTTAAACGATTCCTGTTTATTTTCATTTTGAGCATCATCATCCCATTTGTTCACATAATATTTGTATGTTTTATACACGAACGGAATTTGACTACGATGGAATAAAAGGAAGTCGAGTATGTTAATTACAAACTCCGCAACGATTCCTGTAGTTAAGACGTCAACGTCTTGGAGTTTAAGCTCAACATTTTTAGAGTTCTGTGCCATTTACTTATAGTCTCGATAATTTCGCGGGTTTCTTTAGTAAACAAACTTGAGTTGTTTGGGTTTGAGATGCAAATGTGCACACTATCGCCACTTAGGAACTAGCTTCCTTTTGCTACAATATCGATATATGACGAACTCGATATCATCAGCAAAATCGAAGATCTGTGTCAAAAGAGGATTTATTTGAAATACATTGTTTTTATTTAAGATTTACATTATAGAGGTGAAAATAAAAATATATATATTTGACCGATATTGTAATAATTTTAAATTTGTAGTGGCTTTATTTTATACCGTGCCGTCAATATAAGTGGAAAGCAGTTTGCGGGTAACGCTAAGCTAGCTGGATTAATTTTTATGTTCGAAATGTCTTTACTGCTTATATTGTAACGCAATAAAATATTTGAAAGTAATATGAATCCAAATCCTCGAACTAAATTTTGTCCAATACATGTGCGTTTCCCTATACTAAATGGTAAAAAATGTGGAAGATTTTTTCTCAATTGAAACTTTGGGCGCTTCAGATTATTTTGATTATCTATAGTGCTTACAAAATGATTATTCTCTTCGAACTCTATGCCGGAGTCAGAGCCTTCAGACATTTTTCTCTTATCATTGGATGTAGATGGTTTTTGAGTATTCTTTATAGAAGTTTCCTCTAAAAATCTTTCTGGACAAAAATTCTGAGGGTTTTTCCAACTATTTTCGCTCATATTGAGTACGTAGTTGTTTATAAACACAATTGTGCCCTTCGTTACTCCATATCCAGATATAACTGAATCCTCAGTAGCCACATGAGGAACAATGGGTGATGATGAGTACCGTAGGACTTCGAAGATTGTGGCCATTGTGTAGGGCATTTGTTCCATGTCTTCTAAAGTAATACTTCGCTTTCCCTCATTTGACACAAGATCGGCTTCGCATTGAATATGTCTACCAATGGCTGGATCTCTGGCTATATAGGCAAGCACCAGCATTATTAAGTTCCCAACAGCTGAATGGCCACCGATGAAATCTTCCAGCATAAAGATGATTGTGTTCCGGCACATGTTTTTGTTCTCAATCAAACTTTTTAGCAAAGCATCGGTGAAGTCATTGTCTGGCTCCTCAGGATCGATGTTCAGCTCCCGATGCTCCAGAACGCGATTCAGAATGAACTTGCGTATTGTTGTCGACCAATGTGCAATGCGATTTGTGTGCTGTTTGTAGAATGGTGCCAGCCAAGGCAGAAAATCCAGTGGATGTCCTTGATTGATTTCCCAAAAGATTTCGTCAAAGAACCAAACCATTTTCTTGAATTCCTTATCATCATACTCGAATCGCATTGAGCACATATACTGGCTAAACATATTCGCGCAGGCTGCATTTAAAATGGGCTTCAAATCTAGGGGCTGCCCAGGTAAAATAACTTTCTCCAGCTCGTCCATTAATATGTCAGCCTCTGCACATCCAATCAAGGACATCTTGGAGAAATATGACGACGATTCTCGGGGGGAGCAATGACGTCTAGCTAAATTTCGTCGTTTCTGCTGCAATTGTGACCATTCGCATAGAGCTAGGGAGTTATTACGGTCACCTCCAAACAGTTTATGATAGCGTAGGAAATCCGGACGGCCACCAAAGAATTTTCCATTCTTATTAAGAACTTCTCGTATCAGATCCAAGTTGTTTACCACAAGGCAGCGAGTGTGTCCAAGTGTCAAGGAGTAAATGTCTCCATAACAACTTGCTAGTGTTCCGAATCCTTTGAAGGGATTGTCAAACTGGCCAATTATATCCAAATTGCCAAGTATGGGCCAAGGATGTGGACCAGGAGCCTGCTTGAATGCGCGTTTAAGTTTTTCTCCATTGGGCAAAACAGTTTCGACAATCGCTTTTCTTTTGCATTTAAATAATATTAAAATATAAGACGCTACGAACAGAATCAGGACAATTAAGATGAATAGGTAAAACACATTGAAGAACATTTTGATATGCAGGCAGAGTATGCAGGTATCTTAAATGAGTAAAAAAATACATTAAAACAGGTGGATCAGCAGGCGTCTAACTATATACCTGTTAATAAGTCACCAATATGTAACCGATTTCTAAGAAACGCAGACGTTATAGATATTGCTTCTTTGTGATTGTCACTTTTTCTATCACTATATATTTATTGTAGTTAGTAGCATTTTAGTTAATTCTTAAACGATCTCGTCGGCTTGTAATGTCCTTACTCTTTGAGGTGAATATGTTGAGTAAGTTGTAACTTCTGTAATGAGACGCTATGTTAACAGCGATGCCATGTTACATATGGAACCTTAGCCTTAGGAAACACTATTTGAAAGCGGCTCATTTGATTTTCTCAAATATATATGTAAAAGAATAAAAATAGGCCAATTCGCATAAATAAAGTCAAAGAACACTAATGGAATTCATTTTCCAAGCAATGTTAAATTTAAAATATATAGTAGGCGCCAAAATTTGATTCTCATGCTATGCAACCATGGCTAACATGGAGTGTACACACTGGCATCGTAGCCGCAGCTAACTTCAAGTCGGTTATGACTAGTAAAAATCTGTTTGTGTTGCCGACAAAATTCATTTTCTTTTGAAGATATTAAAGTAAAAACGCAAAATGGTAAATTAGCTTGGCAACGGTCTAGACTTTTGAGTTTATTGAGTGCTTTCTTGTTATAGGGACAAAATCAATCGGCACAGGGTGGCACTGGAGACAAGAAGGATGACAAAGACAAAAAGAAGAAATATGAGCCACCAATTCCCACTCGCGTTGGCAAAAAGAAGCGTCGCGCAAAGGGTCCAGATGCAGCCATGAAGCTGCCACAAGTGACTCCTCATACTCGCTGTCGCCTAAAGTTGCTCAAATTGGAGCGCATCAAGGATTACTTGATGATGGAGGACGAGTTTATACGCAACCAGGAACGACTCAAGCCACAAGACGAAAAGAACGAAGAAGAACGCTCGAAGGTTGATGACTTGCGTGGCACACCAATGTCTGTGGGCAATTTGGAGGAGATTATCGATGACAATCATGCAATTGTGTCGACATCCGTGGGCTCGGAGCACTATGTTAGCATTCTGTCCTTCGTTGACAAGGACCAATTGGAGCCTGGCTGCTCTGTCCTGTTGAATCATAAGGTTCATGCTGTAGTGGGTGTCCTCAGCGACGACACAGACCCCATGGTTACGGTCATGAAGCTAGAAAAAGCGCCACAAGAAACATATGCGGACATTGGTGGGTTGGACACTCAAATTCAGGAGATCAAAGAATCTGTCGAGCTTCCGCTAACTCATCCCGAATATTACGAAGAAATGGGCATTAAACCACCAAAGGGAGTTATTCTGTATGGTCCCCCGGGTACGGGTAAAACGCTTCTCGCCAAGGCCGTTGCCAATCAGACTTCAGCGACCTTCTTACGTGTCGTCGGCTCCGAGCTCATACAAAAGTACTTGGGCGACGGACCAAAGTTGGTGCGCGAATTGTTCCGCGTAGCAGAGGAGCACGCGCCGTCCATTGTCTTCATAGACGAAATCGATGCAGTGGGCACAAAGCGTTACGATTCCAATTCAGGAGGCGAGCGTGAAATTCAGCGCACCATGTTGGAGTTGCTGAATCAGCTAGATGGTTTCGATTCTCGTGGTGATGTCAAAGTCATCATGGCAACGAATCGTATTGAAACACTTGATCCAGCGCTTATACGTCCGGGACGTATTGATCGTAAGATTGAGTTCCCCTTGCCCGATGAGAAGACCAAGCGACGCATTTTCACCATACACACATCGCGCATGACACTCGCTGAGGACGTGAACCTGAATGAGCTAATTATGGCAAAGGATGATCTTTCTGGTGCCGATATTAAGGCGATTTGCACAGAAGCAGGACTGATGGCATTGCGCGAGCGTCGCATGAAGGTGACCAACGAGGACTTTAAGAAATCAAAGGAGAGCGTCTTGTACCGCAAGAAGGAAGGCACGCCCGAAGGACTGTATTTATAAGTCAGATCAATTTTTCAGTTAACATATATTATAATTCCTAATCACACGCAAGCATTAAACCAGGTTAATCTTAATCCATCAAATCATTTTGCTTGTGATTTGAACAAATTTGTTGTTGTGTGCAGTGCATCGGCGCAGTGTTCTAATAAATTGTCTACATAGGCATTTTGTTTTTCGGATACAATGCTGAGTGGTTCACTTTGATGCTCCAAATACTTGAAGTGGATTTTATCTATAGCTTTTGCCAACCTCATTTTCTTATACGCCAGGTGCTCCTTTGCCAGATTGTCGTCAATATTTGCTTTAGTTAATGTATCGTAGAAGGCTGAAAATTTAGTTAACTCTATGCCAGTCTTTAGTCCATCTGAATAGCCCTGGTCAAAGCTGCTCTGAAAACTTTGTTCGCGTCCATCAGCGATTCCATCAGCATAATTAATCTGCAAGCAAAATCAGATTTATTTCAAATGGTATAATGACATTTGATTTTATTAACAGTGACTGCCACTTAACAGACTGCTTCTTCCTGTTATTAACAGACGCTGTTCGTAGAATTGGCACACAAGCAACTCAGTTCAAAGCACGCTTTTGTCTTACCTTTTCTACTTTTTCCTGAATTCGCTGGTAATTATTTTTGCTGACGGTTTTAAAATCGGTCTCGTCATTAGAACTGTGTATTTGTGACATTTTAGCTCTGTAAAACGTAAGTGATTATCAAGATGCAGCACCACAACTATGTTTCGGCTATAGAAAACCAAAACATTCGTGTAATGTGTTTCTAGAGCTGCACAGCACAATAGCAGAGTTGCTCCTCATTTAAAGTGACTCCACACGTAAAGTTTATTACCTACAGAAAATCATGTAAACATTCCGCTTACAGATCACAATGGCAGCCGAGGTTGCTCAACTGTTGCTCGCAGTAATCCAAGGAATACCAGGTGGAGCGACAAACGATGACCTTACTAAAGCGTTGTCAGATATGCCCGCAGCTTCGCGGGTCGAAGGCCTGAATGTATTGTTGAAGCAAGGTGGCATAGAGATTTTGAAGAAAGGAGAGAAACTTATTTACCGCGCCAAGGATCCGGAAAAGAAGAGTGCACTGCCCAAAGATGCGGATAATGAAGAGAAGGTGGTCTATAGTATTGTGGAGGAGGGCGGTAACAAAGGAATTTGGATACGTGACATACGCATGAAGTCTAATTTGAATATGACTCAACTTAACAAAATTCTCAAGAATCTGGAAACCAAGAAACTTATTAAAGCGGTCAAATCTGTGAACGTAAGTAAGTTAACGAATCTATCGAATCCGAATTAAACAATTTTAAATTTATTTATTTAAGGCAAGCAAAAAGAAAGTCTATATGCTTTACAACTTAGAAGCAGATCGATCTGTGACAGGCGGTGCTTGGTATCAGGACCAAGATTTTGAAGTCGAGTTCGTAGATGTGCTCAACCAACAATGCCTGCGATTCCTCCAAATGAAACGTGAAAGTGCCGAGAAGAAACGCGATGGACCACTGGCGTTTAAGCAAATGTCCTGCTGTACTGTGAAAGAAGTGCACAAATTCATATCAGATTTGGGTATCAGTAAAGTCAATCTGGATGAGGATGACTTAGAGACAATATTGAAAACCGTTGTGTACGATGGCAACGCAGAACGTATTCTACAATCAGATGGCACGTACGTTTATCGTGCGGTAAATTTACCTCTGCCGGCACCTGGTTTTGTGCAAATGCCGTGTGGCATATGCCCTGTGATCAAGAATTGCTCCAATTGTGGTGATGTGACCGCTATTAATTGCCAATATATGAATGAATGGTTAGATTAAATATGCAATGACCTAAAATATTTGTTACTGCTGTGTTCATTTAAATGTATTTAGCGCGCCTTCCCCTTTCCCATAGGAGGCAGCTACACCCAGCTTATCGATTAATCGTGAGTTCGATAAACTTTGTTCGGTCTGGAAACAGTAGAAATACGTGGCTGCCGATTCTGTTGTTGTTCGACAAAAATTCCAGCAAAAGCTAAGCACAAAATTGAAATTAATTTAGATATATATACTAAATATGCGATAAAACAAATTAACGCTGCCTTTTCAAATTACGAGTGTCAGCCCAATTTCTCTACGTAGAAACACGACAAAGAACGACAATAATTACTTAGCCTACACAAAATGGGACTTTGCAAGTGTCCAAAACGTTTGGTGACAAACCAATTTTGCTTTGAGCACAGAGTCAATGTCTGTGAGCACTGCATGGTTCAGAGCCATCCCAAGGTGGGTGAATACATGTGGTATAATATTTTCTCTGTTAATCAGTTTCTTGTAGTGCATAGTGCAATCGTATCTGCAATGGCTACGTGATAGCGACTATATATCCAATTGTACGCTCTGTGGCACCGGCCTGGAGCAGGGCGAATGCGTGCGCTTAGTGTGCTACCGTAAGGAAGATTGCAATTTCTGGAAAATTGTGTTTTTAACAAGCTGGCTTCTGTTTTAGATGTTTATCACTGGGACTGCTTAAATGCACGCCAAGCCAGTCTGCCTGCCAATACAGCGCCTAGTGGCCACCAATGTCCGAGTTGCAGTGTGGAAATTTTTCCAACTTCGAACCTGGTCTCACCAGTTGCAGATGCACTCAAACAATATCTGTCACAGGTGAACTGGGGTCGAAGTGGATTGGGCCTTGCTTTGGTAAGCTCCGAACTGAATTATATACCATGCTCATATATTAATAAATAATTTGAATTTCAGCTTTCGGATGAACAAAACAACAGCTTCAAAGCAAAAACGATTAATAGCCAATCGGCTGTTCCCAATATTACCAAAGTGCATCATCATTCCGCCGGCGAGCGTGAGCGTATGAAACCGAATGGAGGTATTGATAGCTCCAGTCCACATTCCGTGCTGCTAATGGATGCCTTTAATCCGCCTAGCTCTGACATACATGGTCTGTTCAAGCTCCTGAGCTAATATGTGCTTCTCTTAAACAGACTTAATTTATCTCCAGGAACTAGCAGCAGGCGTCCGTTGCTGCCCCGACAGCCGCCGATTGGCGGCACCGATCGTGATGATAATAAATATCAACGCCGCTCGCCGGCCGAGTTATTCTCCCGTTGGACCCGACGCTTTTATGCACCATCCTCGCGTCCACCTTGGCGCCGTACCTGGTTCTTGGTACTCAGTGGCATTTTGGCCTTCATTCTGTTTGTATATATAATGGCAGTGCTGGGTCGCGGAGGCAATGATAGCTTGGATGACAGCTGGAATAATCCAAACCCGAAACAAAACCACTACGAATAAGCATATATATATGTGTGTATCGCCTCATCGTATATCCGAAAAGTCCTTCCCCCTGTTAAAATCAAAACTTATTTATGTAACCCAAAATATTGCAGAAGAAAACTTAATACTAAGCTTTCTAAATAACGTTTTAATCAACATGCGGTTTTTGCAAAATTTGCACGCCACTAGCCTTCGGTGAATTTGGAGTTTTCCGTTTGGGCGCATCCAAGACCTCGTCGTATTCGTGCAGCTTCTTGGCCAGGAAGTACATCTCGGCCAGCGCTATTACCAACGCCACAATGACGCCCAGTAAAATACGGAAACCAAAAGGTAGTGGACCAACCATCAAATTGACCCCAAAGAATCCAAAAGTGAATCCGGCTGCCACCGAGAAAATGAACTGGGCTACAGCTATAATTTGCTTATTAATACTTTTCACTGCAGGGGAGAGAGAGTGATTTATAACGTTAACAATTGAGTGTGGAATAATAGCTTTGGTGAACTCACATTGGTACGCTACTGTATCCTCGGGAATATGCTTGAGTGTCGCATCAACATTTTTGGTCATCTTATGATATTCGCGATTTTGTTGCTCATCGCGCAGCCGCTGGCAACGCGCCTCCAGCTCAGGATTGCGAGGTTTGTACTCATTCTCGGGCAGTATGAGCTCGCAGCTTTCAATTAACTCATACAGAAATACGTTAATAATATTGTTCCTGCGTAGTTCGGTAAGTGTTGAGTTAAGAAAGTGCAAATCGTTTAGATATAAAAAGTCGCCAGTAAGAGGCTGCTTTGGTTCCTCCTCCACCTCCTCCTCTGGCAATTCATTAATTTCTTGAGCGTTCGAAGGCACATCTGGTAAATTTGCAGTCAGTTTGTTCAGCAGCTTGACATCGATTTGTGGTCGCTTACAGACTACCTCATCATCTCTTATGATTCTAGTACTATTGGCTATGCTATATCCGTTTTTCTCTAGGATTTTGGCCAAATTAGCAGGCAGCTCTTTCAAATGTTCCTTCTGCTCGCCCAGCAAATCCAACAGTTTTTTGGATGGCCGCAGTCGAACGCGAGTGTCCACAATAGTTGACTTCAGCATGTTGTAGATTTACTTATTTGTTAATGTTTAACTTTAACTGCAAATCCGAATAAAGTTCGGCGATTTCCTCCTCCTTCTCCTCGAACGAATTATCAATGCGTTTATAGTTGTGTTGTAAATTGCTTAAAAACTCTGCCTTGCGTTGCTCACGTGCTCGTCTTGCCTCCTGTAGCTCAACGCTGGGCTGAATATGCAAAAAGAAATATTTGAAAATATGTTTTTTTTTTTTTTTATTGTTGAAATATGCATACTTTTCGTTCAACTTTGGCCTTCTCTAGCAGGGTTTCAACGTCGTTAAGCAAATTGTTAACAGCTGTTGAAAGTTCGGTAAGCCTTTGGTTACCTAATGCAATGCAGCGCTCGGAGAGATCGTACTTTAGTGAACCCACAATTTCGGTGACCTGGAAAAGTGTCTCGACTTCGCTATCGTTGCGTTTCAGTTCGAAATTATCCAAGAATGTGTCGATTTCGCCGTTGACAAATACGCGGTGGTCTAAAATGCGATGCGGCACTTTGTATAGCTCTGAAAGAGTGAAGTTTCACTTGAGTACGTCTTCCAGGTATAGCTCTGCAAAACACGTACCCCTTCCAACCTGGCTTATCATTATTTTTCTTCACAAAACACCAAATTTTTTACATCTGTCACATGAGTAGGTCAACGATATACCAATTATTAATCGATATATAGATACTATACGATAAATGTCGTATTTTACATTGCTGATATTCCCCATGAAAGTTTTATTACAAGAATTAAAATGGAATCTATATGGGAACATATTCCACGGTATTATGATTTACAATTAAGTAAAATTATTACAATTTAAGATACAATCAGTAACTGAAATTGTAATTAGCTATTGTTTCCCGCAGAAACGCGATTTCAAATGCATATCGATAGTTGCAAATACAACCCATCACAGTAAACGCGACGTGCAGAAAGTCATCCACCATCTGCGGATCACAATTTCGTTAATTGTTCTAATATTCCCACCATGAGTGAAGAATTTAAACTGCCAAAGCGATCACGTAAGCGTACGCGCGATGTAAAACGTAAAGCCCGCCCTGAGCTCGATGGCGAAAGCGCTTGGGTGGCGATGCGGTATTTTGAGAAGTTCGAGCCATTTTGGGACTTCGTGGATAACCTGGAAAGAATCGACTATAAAACGGTAACATGTGAGGAATTCATTGAAAGGTTCGAACGCCCCTATCTGCCCGTAATAATAACTGGCTGCGCTGACGGTTGGCTGGCGCAGGAAAAATGGACGCTCTCCCGCCTAGCGAAAAAATATCGCAACCAGAAATTCAAGTGCGGCGAGGATAATGAAGGCTACAGCGTTAAAATGAAAATGAAGTACTACATCGAGTATATGCAAGCGACGCGGGACGATAGCCCCCTGTACATATTCGATAGCAGCTTTGGCGAACATCATCGTCGACGAAAGCTGCTCGAGGATTATACGGTGCCTAAATATTTTCGTGATGATCTCTTCAAGTACTGCGGCGAGGAGCGGCGGCCGCCATACCGATGGTTTGTCATGGGCCCGGCTCGTTCCGGCACCGGCATTCATATAGACCCGCTGGGCACCAGCGCATGGAATACGCTAGTACGTGGCCACAAGCGCTGGTGCTTGTTTCCCACGCACACGCCCAAGGATCTGCTCAAGGTTACTAGTGCCATGGGAGGCAAGCAGCGAGACGAGGCCATCACATGGTTTAGCACCATTTATCCTCGTACTCAGCTGCCCTCGTGGCCACAGGAATACAAACCCATCGAGGTGCTCCAGTGTGCTGGCGAAACGGTATTTGTGCCTGGAGGCTGGTGGCACGTTGTGCTCAATCTGGACGACACCATTGCAATAACGCAGAATTTCTGTAGCTTTACGAATTTTCCGTGTGTGTGGCATAAGACGGTACGAGGTCGACCCAAATTGTCGAGGAAGTGGCTCCGAGTGTTGCGCGATCAGCGTCCGGAGTTGGCCCAGATTGCCGAAAGTATTAATATAAATGAGAGCACAGGCTTCGCCTCCGATAGTTCAAGCAACTCCAGCTCATCCTCCTCGTCCAGCAGCTCATCCTCAGACACGGACGCCGATTCAAATACGGACAGCGGCCAGGAAAGTCTCACTGCCAAGAAAAAGAAGAAGCGGCGAATGGCCGGTACCGAAGATAGCGTCAGTGCGGCGGTGCCCTCGCGCTCTTGATGTCGGCACAAAGCGAAAAGGAACGGCCTCCTGCTGCGGCTGTTCCATCGTCAACTGTTTTTCTGTCGCCGTGTGCCACGTTGTCAAAGTCCGTGTGGTCAACAATCCTGCCAGAACAGCTAGCAGGGCTAATCCAGAACCCAATCAAACCTTAATTCATGTTTTAGAAATATTTTTCTACATAGACAAGTAATAAATAAACCGTGTTGCTGTTAGCTGCTTAATGTTAGCTCCAATAGTGTATTTTATGTTTATTGAAAGCCAGTTAATCCGCCAAGGATAATTAGCCAACGACTTGAATGCGACATAAATAAATTCAATATATTTGTAAAAACTGAAATTGCGTGTTCCAATTATTTTAGTCTATTCACCTAGAAAAAGAATTCTTTAAAAATGCAATCAATTTGCTTTTATACAAAAGTTTATCATCTTTCCTTTATTATTTTAGCGTTTTTCATTATTATTTATTTATAAATTGTTTTTGTTTTCTTCCATGCAACTCAAAAGATGTAGATCAACAAATTGTATTGTTCTTGATAAAGTTGAAGACCATTTGGAGAGACGAAATCAAAAATCTGACAGACAATTTCAAATGTTTAAATAATAAAATTTATTTATGGAACATAAGCAAGCACATGGTCCTTAAAAAAATCACCTTTTAATTCGCTACAATTTTTTATTCATACATAATTATTTTTAAAAGCTTTTCCCACGCATTCCTCTCAAGTTTTCCCATTTTTATATTGTTTGTTGATTTTTAAACTTTGTTTTTGTTATTATTATTTTGGCGTCCTGCGTGTACTGAATTTTTAGAAGTTTTTGCACTTTGTGATTTTTAAAAAATATTGTTTTACTTTTATTTCTTATGTGTTTTATTTTTATTTAATTTAGTTCCTTTTTGCTTTTATATTTACGATTTATTGTTTATCATTGTGTAAAAATTGAATATTGCGCTTGCAGCTTCGAATTGCTTACTGTTTCTGGTTTTTGTCCATTCTGAATTTAATTGATGTTTTGCTAGCCAAGTTCTCTGTTTGTGTTTTGTTGTTTGATTGGTTGTGGTTGTTGTTGTTGTTGAATTCAGTGTGTTATTGTTTGTTTATGTTAATCAAGACTTAATCAATATACTGCGCTAACCAACGGAAACCCTCGCCATAGCCCTGTCGCTTCAGCACAGAGCACATGAATAATTCCAACGGGCGACCAGGCAACTCGGAGCGTGCAACTTTGCCCTGAAAAGCCATAAAAATATTTAAATAAATAATTGCGATAATTATATATGTATTTCAAGTCGATGCATACCTTGCCGGTCGTTAACTGATACAGTCCAAACACATTTCTCAGCTCGTCCTCGCTGGCCGCGCCAGGCTTATCAATTTTGTTGCCCAATATGAGCACCGGGCAGTTGGACAGCGCCTCATCTGTGAGCAGCGAATCCAGTTCGTTTTTGCTCTCCTGGAAGCGACCGCGATCCCACGCATCTATCAAGAATACGATGGCATCCACGGCTGGAAAGTAATCCTTCCATACACGACGCGCTGCAAGCAACCAAACATTGGCAGTTAGTAATCAATCATGGAGGGCCGCCATCAGTCACAGTCTGCATATCAATCAAACCAAGCGTCTTTCAACAAAACAAACAATGTTCTAGCTGAAAATCACGCGTAATACTGTCAGCAGTAATTTGCTTTATAGGCTTTTAATGTACACACACATACATACATATTAGTATACGTGAGCTGCGACTCGCCCTGCTTCGCTTATCAATAAAAGTTCATATATAGACACACACAAATGTAATATAAATATATTTGCCCAGTCGCTAGACAGTTTCCGCCATCTAACGCTTACCAGCATGATTATACGGATTCGTTTATACGTACAATCTTGAACATGTCTTATATGTATGTATGTATGTTATAGATACATATATGCAAGTGCTTTTATTCGTTGTTGATCATTTGCAGTTATATTATATTTGTTTTTGCTATCTTGCCCGTGTGCTTGACATAGTGTTTTGTAACAGTTATTCCACACACAGTGGTTGCATTATTGACAAACTTTAATGTAGAATTTAAATTCTTATCAAATATATAAATGAAAATTCTAGACAATGAAAATTCAATCTTAAAATTCTTTTTAAATTGTAATATTTCAATCAATCAAAATTATGCTTTTATACTATTTTTACGTTGTTAACACAACTCAGATTATCCTACATTCATCACAACTTTTCTAATACTCATGAAATTAGCCTAGTAGCTCTAACTAGCTATTTTTAAAAATTAGTTTAATGTATTTTTCACTCCATATGTTACCTAAACTACAAATACATCTTATGATTGTGTGCACAGTACGGGAATTGTGTTTACAACTTTACAATATATAAAATAATATATGTATTATATATTGGCAATCACCTACATATTTATTATGCAATTGTTGGTGTATAGTTTTGCATAGATGTGTAGATTAATGATGACATATTTTTATATACATATGTACATATCTTAGCCACTGCGACGATGACGTTGTTGTTGTTATTGTTTCAGAAGAGTGAACGCAACAAATGGCAACACTTACAACGTGTTTTTTATTTGCAAGTATGTGTTCTGCGTGATTTGTGTGTGTATGTGTGTGGGTGACCCCCTGCGCTATATTTTACGCTGATTGTTTTGTTGTTGTGCCATCTTTGTGCTACGTATGCATGTGTGTTTGTGTATGCGCTTTGTGCTATTTTTAGACAAAGAGCACGTTTTAACATGCGCAATATTTATGATTTTAATAAGAGTACTACGATTATTGAATATTTAATATATCTTCGGAATGCTTTATCTCTTTATCCAAAGCTCTGTACTCACCTTGAGTATGGCCACCCAAATCGAATGTAGTGAAACGCATATTCCCTATGGACAGCTCCTCGGATGCTAGCCAAATCAAGGGAAGAAGGGAAAGAAAGATACATGAGCTACAGAACAATCTGGAGTAGATGAGATTTACACTTACTTGGATGCAGTGTTGGCACATGCTGCGCCAGCTTATCATCTTTGAGCATATGCAATAATGTGGTCTTACCAGCATTATCCAAGCCAAGGAACAATAGTTTGCCGGACTTTTTCCATAGACCTGTGCATGGAAAATGTTGATTTTATGATTAATWAATATATATTTATATATGTATGCATATATTAATGAAGACCTTGAGCGTTTGCGTTTGGTCAATGTTAATGTAAAGGTCGAACTGCGCTTCAGTTCCGACTTCACTAAATCGACATAAATTCCGAATCAACAGCTTCACCAATTCACATACACACACACAGCTAAACGATTTCATTTGCTTTTGTTGTCTGCTTCTGTTAATGTTACTGTTGTTGCTGTTGGTGTTGCTTTTGCTGTTTCTGTTTTGTTGGCAAACGGTCAAGAAAATCGCTCATGTAGCAATGTCAAATTCCATTTGGCCCAGACACTTACCTAAGTATCCCAGAACACCCGTGAACCAGTCCCAAATGAACATCTTGGCTTGTGCTGTGGTTTCTTCCTGCGGGAGTGAGCTGAATGTGTGTTAATTGGGGGGAAGTGCGGTGCGATACTAAAAAAATCAGATACGTATATATTATAAACAAATAAGTATACAATGTAAATACAAACAACAAAGAGTAGAGGAATTGAATGAATATGCGTGACTAGTTCAATGTTCAGTTGCGACACTTTTTTTTTGTTATTAATAATCCATTTTCTATCGCTTGCTCGTAACCTAAATGCTGCTATTGAAATGAATGAATTAAATGCGAAGCAGCCTTGACATAAATACATTGGGTTAATACAGCGACAGTTGTTATTGCGTTCAGGAAGTAATGTCTGACCGATTATAATTAGGTTAAAAACCTGTTTCGGTTCTTTGTCAAGCTCTCTTCTGGGCAACACTTTCTTTCTTTACAAGTATATGTTTGTGTGTGTGTGTGCGGGTACGGCTTTGTGTGCATGTGTGTGTGCGCGTGTACGCTGTATTATATGTACGTGGTTAATACGCATAAAACTTTGTAATTTTCACCAAAATCTATTTGAATTTCGTAATCTCGCACTTTGGAGCTAAGCATACTCAGTGCACCCCACAATCATTTCAATTTGCCGCACCCTTGACGCTCGCGCCATTCCACTTATTGGGCTCATATGTATTAAAAAACAGCAGACATGACAATCTGATTTTGCACTACGTGGACACACATTTATAGTTGGCTATTATTTTAGGCATTTGACTGCATGATGCTCTCGTGTTGCTGCCGCCTTGGTTTGCTGCACTAACTAGAACTGATCGCTGAACTATATTCAACACTATGTGGATGACTTAAATGCATTTTTCGTTTATTATTTACGAGTTATTATTATTTATTACTTTTTCTGCACACGTTGTATCGAATCGTTCGGAATAAGTTCAATCGAACGACTCACTAAACTGAACAGGCGATAACCGTTCATCTAGTTCGTAACGTGTGTACAGTAGCTGGTTGCTAACAGCTTATCGGACTGTTATTAACAGAGAGTCACAAATTGCTTTTTGTTGTACTGCTGCTATGCAAAACTAGCTTTGAAAAGAGCCACAATCGAACCAGGTTATGTTGTCTTTTTTAATATTAAGTTTTTCATTTAAAATAATTATAAATGAAAAATCGATAGATTAAACTTATCGATGTGCTATCGATATGTATGCAATAGTATTAAGTTGGCTGTAGTTCAACAATGAACGTTCGTTGGAGTCAACGCAAATAATTTCTATCGATTCACAGCACTGAAAATATGAACGCGCCAACCTGTTTTTTCAAAAGTTATTTTCAAATCGAATCGAAGTAAACAAGTAACAACTGCTTTAAGCTCAGCTATTAAGACAGTTCTTTATTGTTTCATTATACCAAGAGAAGTATCGTATTCATAGTAATGAATACAAATATGGGTAATTTAGTTAATATTGCTTCGTAGTATAGCTTTAATGTTTTCATTTTATTCAACATTTCGCATCTTCTGCAGGATAATATCCTCCACCTGAACACCGTCGGGCGTGTCGAGGGCATATAAAACTGCCTTGGCCACATCCACTGGCTGGAGTTTGGGCAATGCGTCCACAGCCTGTGAGTAAACATTCAGAAAATCGGTGTCCACCATGCCGGGGCAGATGCTCTGTGCGGGCGAAAGAAGACAGCGTCACAGTTGTTTGCATACAACATGCGGGGCAAACCAAAGCCCATCCCGCTTATCGGTTGGGTGCAATGTATGCAGTGCATTTAACTTACCGTTAATTTAATATTTAATTTGAGAAAATGTATTTCCTGGCGCACCGTCTGGCAAAGTGCTGTAATTGCATGCTTCGTGGCCGGATAAACGCTGAATAAGGGCACAGGCACTTCCGGTATGCGATGGCCCAGCACGCTGTCGTCAATCAACATAGCAAATGATAGAGAGAGAGAGAGAGAGAGAGAGGGAGAGAGAGCGATGAACAGTGCGGGAGTGGAAGAGTAAGAGAGTGAGAGAATAAGAGTCGGCATAGGCATGAAATGGGAAAATGAATAAAGTCAACGTTGCTACGCAATGTAAGCACTTGAAATAACAACAAAGGCGATTGGCAACTGTCGAATCACTCACGAGTAAAATGATGGTCAACAGCTGTCGTTGCTTTCAGCGTGTGAATGAGGCACGCGGACAGTTCCGGGGTGGAGGCGACCTCAACCGAAAGCTGTCGTTGTGCATTTTATGCAAACACTGCGTAAACTTCTTTTAATTTAACAGTGTCTGAGACAGAGGCGAGGCTGCAACATTAAGTGCAAATAACGGTACCAACTTTCAGCATCAACTCTTGGCCAGCAGCAGCAGCAGCAGCCAGCTCTTGTCCGCGCACTTTTAATTAATTAAGTCTTAATATTGTTTCATTGACAGTAAGCGCAATGCATATTGAAGCACACCGACTCGGAGCAGGTCTCAGGCTCGATAGGCATTCATTAGCAGCGCATCTGCGGCCTGCTCAATTATTATACTACCTTAT